TCAGAGTAGTGTAAAACTGAAAAATTAAGGATAAAGTTTAAAGGAGAAGGTAATGGTGTTTTAAAAATTAATCCAAATAGCTCTGAACTGTACCTAAAAATTTTTATTATTTCATTTTCTTAAAAGGATCTGCAAGAAAACAGCTATCAAAATAGGGAACCGAGCAGAATATAAATGAAATAATGTGCTCAAAATGGTTAAAATTCAGTCCTGCAAGTAGTTGAAGTACAAGACGAAATGTAAAAACACATGTTGAGGCTTTGAAATATGTTTTTCCAAACAGCTTAAAAAGTGTCCAGATTATCTGGTGAGGAGATCCAGACAAAGGCTAATATTGGATCTGAATTATAAAGTCTTTGCAAATATTTTTAATGCCACCTATGCATAAAAATTCCACAAATGCAAAGTAATGTTCAGACTGACCACAGTGTGATTTAAGCATGTTGGAAGGCTATAATTGCATTAAGTGTGCTAAATTTCACATTTATTTCCAAGTGCCTGGAAAGAATAGACTAAAAAGTATTTAAATGATAAAAAAACATAGGACACAAAAGTGTGCGTGTACGTAGACATAAATTTGAGAAAAAAATTAACAACTCAAAAGTGTCAAGAAGGACAGTAAAATATTTTTCAAGATGTTTTAAAAACTGAATGGACATTGAGGAATGATTTTGAAAGTAAAATAAAATCTAAAGACTAAAAAGGTCCCAAAGAAGCTGACGCCCAAGTCCCTCAGTGTCAGAATTGACTGGGAAACCCTGTACAGTTTCAGGATATATTTAATTAGTAGTTATTGCTGTGAGCTTCACCAGCTTTAAAGTCCATGAACAGAAGACAAAACCTGTTGCACAAAACAAAACAAAAGAGTTGTTTCCCATTTTATTTTCCTGTTACTCAAGATTATAAATAAAGAATTTAGCAATTGTCAGCAATGGTCCAAATGGATGAGAAATAAGGGTGTACACCTCAGTGAGCAGGAGAAGGAGCTTCTCAGAGCAGCAGTGAGCCTTGGAGCAGTGCCCATATTTCCCAAAAGCCAGGGCTGCCACTGTACAGTACTGTATCTGAAACACCCAACTGCAGCCTTCAACTCTTATGTGCTACCCTGTGGGGATTTCTAACACTGAAAGCCCTGGCAGAGGGAGTAATTGTAAAGCTTTAGCCTAGACGTGATTTCTTACAGGCCCATGTGTGCCTGTCATTTCAAGGTGGAGTTCGACTCCCTCACCATAGCTGGGAGCACACAATGGGTGTCCTTTTGGCTCTTGCTTTGGCAATTGGTGCAGCTTCTTAAACTCCTCTTCCCATGCATTAGCAGGCAATGTCTCTGTGGAGATTTATTTTGACAGCTTGGGTTTTAGACAGCTTGTTCTGCATTTTGGCTTCGGCCAGGATGCCACATGATGTAAATAGCAGCTGAACTGAGTGGACATCTGCTGTCACAATAGTGACCATTAAATTTACAAGCAGGCATAAACTGGGCTGAATTAAAAAGGCAAAACCCCACTCCAGTCGGGAACATGAATGTAAGGGCTGTGGCTAACACAGGGGGATTTTTTGCCTTTACTTTTTATCCCCTCCTTTTTTTTCCTTCCCTGCCTCTCTCTACCTTGAAGAGTGGGTAGATTTGCTACCCATTAATTCATCTGATTTTGATAAGTAATTCACCACTAGTCTCTCAGGTGAACCTTCTGAATGCACTTGGAATTTGGAAATATTTAGATAAATGGCCTCTCAAGCAGCAAATAAATATCAGCATGAAAACAACCGGAGCATTGCCCCATGGTATTAACAACACTCTTTGAAAAGCCATTTTCCAGTCTTGTAGAGGATAGGTGGGACTGGGAGGAATTCTCATGCAGGAAAAGGAAAACAACTGCAATTTTTTTTTTTTTTTAGTCTCTTAAGCAACACATTTATTTAAATTATGTATTTCTAACAGAGAACCTTGGATGTATCATTTTACTTGCTGCATCCCAGAACACTGGGCATTCTACACCTGTTTTGTTCCCAAAGATGTACATGGAGGGAAACTCACCAGTAGTTTTTACTCTTTATATAAACCTGTTAATAAATAACACTTCATTTTTCATGAAGGATTTTTTGAAGACTTGGCTGCTACATGCTTTAATACTCTCCCTGTGTGCCATGGAGTAGGGGTGTGAAGGCGGCAAGGAAGGGGTCTTTACAAAGTTGGGCCTTCAAAGACCAAGAGTGAATCCCTTCTGCTGCCCTTCTAGCACAGCTGGGACAGCCCAACCATCCCAACCCAGTGGCCTCGCTGGGGGCATGTGTGCAGCTCACTCAGTGGGTAGTTTTCTATTGCATTTCTCTTGAATCCCATGCACTGGTGGATCTGTCTATTCCTTGTGAATACTTGGCCAGGATGACTGAACAAGTCAATGATCTGGGTGGACTTCAGCCATTTATCCCATCACAGGAAGGCGTCCCATCATCTCTAGAGCTGAACACCATCAAGACACTTGTTTTCTTTTGCTTCTGCCCTTTGCTTCTGCTGAAGGCCCTGCAGCTCACACATGGGCAAACTCCTGACACCCAGCTATTTTCTAACTACATCATAAGTAGTTTACTACTGTTATTGCCAGTTATACTAAAGTGTAAAATTATAAAATTATTATAGAATAATAATATCATTGTTTTATTGGGGAATATTTTCATGACAGACTACAGAAGAAGACCAAAGGCAATGCTGAGTGTGGTATTTGTCTTCCCAGAGGCCCACACCCATGCTGGGTGGGCATGGGGGTCCCTGAGTCCCTCTGCTTCAGTGGCTGATGGATAACTGGGAAGGACACATCCTCCCATGGCAGCTGCCACTGTTGCTCTTGCAGCATTCTCAGTTTAGCCAACCAGCCCTGCTGATGGGTGTTCCCTCTGCTGTTTAAGCTACACAGAAAGTGCATAAGGAGTCTCCGCTTTGGCTGTTGGGGGCTGTTCTGGGTCCACTCTCACTGCAACAGCTTCACCAAGAAATGTCCCCAGTGGCCACCCCTGTCCCCAGGTGGGGGTTTTATAGCTGCTGCATCTGCTGTGCTACAGATCAACAGCCTTATGTCTTCAGTCCTGGCTCACCGACATGTTTAAACGTAGGGTAGTTGTTGAAAAAATCAGGTGTTGTACCACGGACAAATAAGGAACATTTCAGTGAAAATATCCCCTAAAAAATCCCATATGCTTATGGTTAGATGCCAGGCACAGCAAGCAATAAGAGCCCCACAGGGCCAATACTCATGGCCTGCTGCTTATACATAGGGGACAGTCACAGAGTGCTGCATCAGTCCCAAGCAGTTTCCCCAACAGTTCATTGCACTGATTTGCCATGAAATAAAAGCTCCTGTCGATTTAAATGCTGCAGAATCAAGCCTATGTCTTCTGTAGGTTTACAACAGCTGTGCTATTGCACACACCCTGAGAGCCAGGTATAGCTCTAAGCCATCACTCTATAAATATTTTTCTATCCTTGTCCCACAGGTCAGAGGTTAAGTAGGTTCAGGCTAATCTTGCTTTGTGACCCAGCGTCACACATATGGGCAGTGAGGTGCAGCCCCTTTCCAAGGCACGCTCCTCTGCATGCTGTAGTGAAGCTCATCCACGCTAGGTGGCCTCAGGAGAATGCAGAACTCCTTGAAAATAATAAACAAAACCTGCGATTTTGGCTTTAAAAAAAAAATAAAATTGGTTACCAAAATGCCTTCTAATAGAACTACTTAGACTGAGCTTTTCAAGGTGCCTAAAAGGCAATCAGAACATCTTACAGGGGAACCCAGAGAATGGCACTGAAATTTTATATTTGTGGAAGAGATTGACTACCAGATACTCTTTTCTCAGAAAAATCCACAGGCTGGCCACAGCTATGTTGCTATTTTCATTACCAACATGTAAGGACTGAGCTAGTGGGGAAGGGAGAGGTGGAGTTGTTTCAGAGGAAAATGGTGCCATACTTATATTTCCATGACACACCATCTAAGTTTGGGGAGTAGATTTCATGCTCACCATGAGTACACCCTGCACAGTGCTGTGGGCAGGGTTTGGGGCTGGATGGATTGTGCAATACAGCACTGTGCACTGACAAATTCCATCTGTGAAGTCTGGCCCTTACTGTGGTGTTCTGCTTTGATAAATTCCATTAAAATACAGGAGACAGAGACAGATCCCTTGAAATAAAAAAAAGAAAAAAAAAAGAAAAAAGGTAATTAGGCCTGATTAATTACTTGGCTTGGCAACAGAAGTGGTTTTGGCTCCATCTTCATATTACCAGCCAAATAAATATGTCTGTCAGAATCCCCTCAGCTAGAGGATGAATGCCAAGAGTGGCCCCGGAAGTGATTTTTAGCACTTTGACACAGACTGTGAACCATACTACGTCTTCTTTAGGGTTGGGTCCCCCTCAGGATTTATTTCTGCGTCAAGGAAGATTACACCTAATAGGATTTGCTTCTTGGAGGCTGTTGGCATGTTTGGTGCAAACCCCTGCACAGTTCTTTCTTAAAGGAGAATATGGACCCTGTTTGTCATATTTTTCTTCTTCTTCTGGCCTTCCACAAGATAAACCCATCTGTTTCGTCTTGTATCACAGGATGCTCGTGTTCTCAAGACAGCTTTGGAAGGTAAGAACGCTAGTTACCCCTGTCGTAGCACCAGCGAAGCAGCTCATATATATTTGCCAATGATGTGAGCATCAAAACCAGATTGGTGCATGGAGTGCCTCCTCCAACACTTGACTAGTACTAGCTTAAGCACAGAGTGAGATTTCTCTTATTTCCCTGAGATATGTAGCTGCATACATAGCAATTTTTATAACTTAATTGCATTCCTCATGGGAAAATTGGTATAAAACCCATGGAAGGATGATGTATGGCTTATGCATGCCCTATATACAATACCATGTAATTTTTCAGGTGCTTGTCCTCTATAGGGAACTGGTTTGTTAGACACGAACGTGGTATGTGACTTAGAGAATTTTCTGTTTTCCTCCTTAGGAGTTTGCTCTGCATGTCTGCACTGCTGAGGCAGATCCCTGCAAACATCCCTCAGGACATCCGGAAAATTAGAATCGAAAATTCTCACCTAACAGAATTGCCTCGTGGGTCTTTTGAGAATGTTAGTGCCTTGGAGTATCTCTGGCTCAATTTTAACAACATCACAGTCATGCACATCAAGAGCCTGGAATATCTGCCAGCTCTGCAGGAGCTGCGCTTGCAAGGGAACAAATTAAGTTCAGTGCCATGGACAGCATTTCAAGACACCCCGACTCTGAAAATCCTGGATCTGAAGCACAACCGGCTGGATGTCCTTCCAGAACACGCACTCCGCTATCTGCCCAACCTGACCTATTTAGATCTATCCTCAAATCAGCTTACCATCATATCCAGGGATGTCTTCTACAACTGGCCTGTCTACCAGAGAAGCCAGAGGACAGAGGGGCAGATAGAAGCTATTTCCAATGCTGTTCTGGCCCTCCACGACAACCCCTGGATTTGCGACTGTCGCCTGCGGGGATTTGTCCAATTTATCAAGTCGGTTGGCCCACCTATTATTCTGATGAATTCCTATTTAACGTGCTCAAGCCCAAAATTCAGGACAGGGAAGTTTTTTCATGAAGTGGAGCTTAATAACTGCATGAAACCCCTGACCTCAGCCCTTGACACCAATCTGACAGTCCCAGCGGGGCTAAACATCACCCTGACCTGCTTTGTGGAAGCCAGTCCATCCCCTGCTGTCTGGTGGACCTATGCACTCAAACTTTTAAGGGCATTTAATGGTAAGCAAAGCTTTTCTTCTTCTTCTTCTTTTTCCCTTTTTTTTCTCATTAAAAATTTATTGTCTGCTATTCTACTTACATAGGTCTGCAGGCCATCTCAGTCACCACAGCAACTCTCAGCCCCTTTAGAACACCACAGTTATTGTGGTGGCAATAATCCAAACAATCTTAATCACCCTATGTCTGACCAGCATAAGAAGAGCTGCTTCATGCAGGATATCAGTCAAAGATGAAAAGAGCATGGCCTCATTTTCACACAATTATCTTATGTGTGGATTTTCAGTAGTAGCTCTTTCCTCATGACACATGATGTAGGAACTATTAATACTATATCAGTTGTACATATTTAATAAATATGTAGTTATCTAAATATACATGTATATTTACAGTATATATTATATACTACATATATATGCACATACTCTATATAATTATATTTGTATGTACACGTGTATCAGCCCACACACATATACATAGGCTTGTATGTTCCTATACTATTTCCATATATTTTCTCAAGAAATACCACACAAACCACAAAACAATGCAGCTCTGTTGCCTGTCTATGTCCATGCATGTTCTACCAACTGAAACAGAGGTGGTTGTTCTCCCTAAGTGTTGCTTATTCATACTCTTTAGCGATGGCCTCATAAAATGAAAGCTTTTCCTCTTCCTCTCAATCTGTCCTCCCTCACATTTATTTTTACTAAGAGTCTTCAATAGGACAAGTTGCTATTTTCATCAGGTAAGATAATAGGCATACAGGCACTGCACAGGCTCTGTGTGTTCCTAATAAGCCAGCTAGCTAAATAGGATAGCATTATCCCTTAATCCTGGGCTGATATTTGCTTCAGTTGCAGCACTGTAGCAGCACCTGTATGCCTTTGCACAAGCGCATGCTGAGTTAATTACATGCAGGTTTTTCCCAACCTACACCCCTGTTTGGGTAGCTGACAAGGGTTTCATACTGTTCTTAAAACTCCATCTCACTTCCTTGCTCCATCCACTTCTTTTTGGCCTGAGCCTTTTGAGTCTGACGTCTTTCCATACTCAATCCTAACAGAGGATGGAGCACGTGTCCAAAATATATCTGTGCCTCCTCAGTGACTCTCCCTGGTTTCCCCTGACCTAAGAATGCTGATGGCACATGGCACATGGGCCTCTGCCCACATCAGCCTCCCCAGCAAGTTGTGCTGGGGCAGGGGTTGGGTGCACTCCATGTCTCCTGTGCTTGGGTGTCCCAGAGTATTTATTGCCTTTCAGACAGACAACACTTTCTGATGTGCGCTGTGTGGTTTGGCACACTGCTGTTGCCCCTCTTCCTTTTTCCCTGGGCAGGGCAGGTCCTGCCAGAGCCCCATCCCACACTGGTCTCAGGGCTGCCCCAAGGGCATGGTGGTTCCCTGCTGCCACAGACAAAAGGGGCCCTACCTGTTGACACAACTTCCCTCTGCCTCTCTGCAGTGACCACTGAGCCCATCAGCGAGGAAACCGTCCGCTCTGAGCTGCTGATCCCAGCGGCACGGCCAGCAGACACCGGCAACTACACCTGTACAGCTGCCAACTTCTTGGGTAACACCTCAGTGGCCATCAACCTCCGTGTGGTGGCCCCATGGGCATCCACCACTCCCCGGGGCTGGGCCCCCATCGCCCCCGCTGAGCCGGGTGCCCATGTGGAAGTGCGCATTGCCAAGCAGACGGTCTACGGCATCACCCTGGAGTGGTTTGCAGCAGCGGCGGCAGCAGCAGAGCCGGGGGAGACCTGGTACACCCTCCTGGTGGGCCGCTATGACGCCGCCCAGAAGGACACCATCTACATTGGCCCTGGGGTCAACACCTACTCGGTGACCGACCTGCTGCCCGCCACCAAATATGAGGTCTGCGTGGCCGTGCGCAACCAGGCTCCCCGCAAGGGCCAGTGTGTCGTCTTTGTCACGGGCAGCGACGTCAGCCAGATGGAGCAGCGTGAGAAGCTCATCCACATCGTGGTCATCGTGTGCGCCATGGTGCTGGCCGTGCCGGCCGGCATGTACGCCTGCACCGCTGAGGCCCTGCCCGGCTGCCTGGCCCGCTGCCCCAGAGCCTGCCCCCGCCGCCGCCGCGGGGGCCAGGCACAGGCTGCTGGCAGCAAGGAGAGCACGCTGGACAGCATTCCCGCCGGCAGCGAGGACGGGCTCTGCCGCCCCGAGGACATCCGCGGCACTCGGCGGCCCCCAGCCCGTGAGGAGCCTGGCAAGACCCGGCCACCCCACAGGAACAGCGCCGACCTCTACTAGCACAGCCCCTGCCCGCCCTGCGAGCGCGGCCACAGCAGCACCTTTCACAGACCACCTCGAGCCACAGTGTGTGCTGGTTTTCTCGAAGGACCATGCGAGGGCGGCTCTGTGCTGCAAGGACTCGGGGCACGGTGGGACACATGACTGTTGTTTGCAGCAGGCTTGGGGAGCCCTGGGAATGGAGGTGCCTGGCGTGTCCGGCCGCAGGTGTGGAGGTGTGCCTCCACAGCCCTGGGCTGCCCCTGCAGCACTGTCATGGAGCAACGCACACTGACACAACAAGAAAACCGGCATTGACAAAAAAACAACCCCCAAACCAGTATCAATGCTTCTGGACAAAGGTCAAAGGTCTCCCTGCACTCACTCACAGAGGCACGTCTTTAGTTATTTGTTCTTCTTGCTCGCAGCTCTGCCCAGCGCCAGGTGCCAGCTTCTCCTGTGTGCCACCTCCTGGGAATGGACAGGGGAGCTGAGCAGGGCTGTGGCCGTAGCCAGCAATGAGTGGTGGGGAGGACTGGGTGAACACGATGGAGAAATTTTTTTTTACTTTGAGAAAAATTTTTTTATTTTGAACAGAGGTGTTGGGTTTGGGGTGGGTTTTTTTGTTCCGCTTTGTTTTGTGGTCTTTTTTCTTACTCCTCCTTAAGGTTTATGCAGCCCTAGGAGATTCACAGCTTTGGTTGTACCACAAACAGGAAAACTGCAAGTGCTTACCGAACACCCCAGTGTAATACAGCCACAGCACAAGATTTCGTGGTTTTTGCATTATTTTGGTTTTGAGTTTTTTTTGTATTAGAGAGAAGGGGCAGGCTTTTTACTTGTGTCCAAACATATATTAGAGGACTGTTTTAGCTTCAGACTAACTAGTGCACACACACACACACGCGCATGCACACTCTAACACACACTTGTGCCTATTGCTACACAAGTGTTGTTAATATATTCTTTAAAGTTAGGAACCAGAGCCGGTGAAAAATGAACAATTTGTCTTTCAGAGGCAAATACTGAACTGCTGTTTCCCCTCCCACGCTCCCCATCACTTGCACCCCTTTTCCCAGGATGGTGCTGTGGCTGCAGGGGGTGATGGGGATGCTCAGCCTGAACAGGCTGGTGAGGCAAGTGGACAGAGGCAGAGAACATGGTGGAGCAGGGGTTTGGGAGCTGGAGGTGCAAACCAGGCACTTTCCCTAAATGCAGACAGGTGCCTGCCCATCCCACTGCTTTGAAGCCAAAGCTTGCTTCCTTGGTAGAGGCAAAAAAGCCCTAATAAGCACCTAAAAGAAACAGCTTCCTGCTTGCAGAGCAGCTCACCGCTGTGATTCTCAGGAGTCTGAGGACATGTGACCTATTATTTTTCTTGGTTTGACCTCACGCTTTCCAGCACAACCAAAGCATGTGGCCCACAGACCCACAGCCATTGTCATATGCGTTGTTATAGATTGTCTAAAAAATAAAAATCTACAGTAGGCACCCCAGCTGTAAGCAGCGATAGAACCTAATGTGAGCTTCATGCTGTGGTAGTTTGGATTTCTAGTTGTATTTTGTTTTTTGGTGTGTGTTTTCCACGCTGTGTCTCCTCAGGCCCCATGTTTCCTCTCCCAGCACCTCCTTCTGCTGTAACATGCTGCACAGCTTTTGAACAGAGACCTGTTTTGTCACTGCGGACTCTTGGTGTGAATACTTCACAGGACTTCCTAGTCTTGTCAGTCTTTTAGTGTCAAAGCAATAAACACGACAGATTTTCAGAATACACAGATGTCCTCTGCTTCCTCTCTAGCCTTTTACAGTTACAAGTTGCAAAGAAACACGAATGCCAAGGAGCTCCGGGGTTTGGCTGCAGGGATGGAGGAGACCAGGCAGTTGCAGCACATGTCACAGGGGGGTCTGGAGTGGTAAGGAAGGGGCAGAAGCAGCCAGCCAAGCAGGGAAACCTTGACCTGGAAAAGCTATCTGTGTAGACAGTGCATACAGAGTAAGGCATGAGCTGATGCTGGTTGAGGACCAGTGTGGGGCTGTGGATGAAGGGGAGTGAAAAACAAAGCACTGTCTGTAATGACTGGCCTTCCATCACAGTCGACACAGAGAAACACTAGTACACACTAGAGATTGGAGAGAGCTGCTGAATCACAGCGAGGGAACAGCCAAAGACAAAACATCCCATCACCAAATGTAGAAAGTTCGTAACAAATCACATACCCACTGGCATCAGGCTGAATCTGCTGCCTTGTGAGGAGCCTTCCTGCCCCCAGGGCCATGCTGCAGTGGGCTGCAGAACACTACGGAATCCTGCCCATCCCCTGTGCCACATGGCATCCTGCTTCTCACCTCCTCTCCTTCCAGCCTGGTGTTGTCCAAAAACCACATAGCCCTTCTCTTGACTTGCAGCCCACAAAAGGGTCCATCTGCCCATCCTAGAAAGCCGCCTGGTTGCCCGTGCCCTTTTGGTCATGCAACAGGCAATGACAAGGCATCATTGCAAGCAGAAGCACACTATGCACAGAAGCACCTTTTGCAGGTTTTTTTTAATTTATTAACAAAAACCTTTGAAGTTGAAATACAGAGTAACTTGGAAAGAGTCTTACAACATAGTAATAAAACATCTTTATTGCCTCTTAAATATAATCTCTAAGACTATAAGCCTGTAATTCCTATTAAATCTCACTTAATTGAATGGTCTTTATAGGCTTTCCTCATTAGAGAATGCACACTGAATACTGGCTTTAAAACAACATCAGGAAGACAGTAGTATGGAGAATAAACAACAAACTTTTGGAACCTCAGGAAACATTGCAGACCCTGGCAGAGACACAACCAGCAGAAGGCGTGTGCTTGCACAGGGCAGCAAGAGAGGGGTTGGGGGCTGCATGTCCCCTCCCTCTGACCAGCTCACAGTCAGGGGATGAGGACAAGGTGACTGCACACAACACCGGAGCCTTGGCCTCAGGCCACACTGCCCCAGGGGTGGAGGATAAGCAAGAAAACAGTGGAGAAAAGGAGAGACATGACAGGAGAGGTTCTGGGTGCAGTGCTGCTGTCATGGTCCCCAGGTGGGACCTGCTGTACCTCTTGGCTACAGCTGCTGGCTCAGCCCATGGGTAACATGAGCCACGGTCACCCTCTGGCTTCTAGGTGGATTGAAATTAAAAAATACAGGATTTTCCCTGTAAGTGGGTAACTTCTTATTCAACCATCTATCCCCTAAACTGATGAAGTCCTACTGCAAAAAAAGGGAATTTTTCCAGCTAGTGGAGTAAGAGGAGATCTGGAGTGCCAGGTCTGCTGGTTCAACTGAAATGACAGCTGGAGAACTCTCAGAAACCCTTTGAATTAACACAGTGTCCTGTCCTGTTGACTTTGTTCCCCATCTTGATGTTCCCAGTGTCAATCCATGACAGCACAGCTTCTGTGCAGGGCAGGGTTCAGGCAGAAGGTGCAGGGTGCCCAGCTCAGGCAGAGGGTGCAGGGTGCCCAGCCAGCCCAGTCCATTCTGCCTTCTTCCCAGCCTGACGCCCAGCTGAAAAACATCTCCTCAGAAACAAACATGAGGGAGAAACCGTGGGGTAGATCCAGTGAAAAAAGTGCTCTGCCCTCAGGGGCTTTTTACTGTCACATAACAGAAAAAAAGTGTCAGCTACCTTCCCACCCTCCCCCCCTTCCCATTAACTATTGCATAATTCACTCAAAAATACTGATATGACAAACCAGAATATTTTACGGAAACCTCATTTTGCACTCACCAGTCCCTGGAACAAGCCAGGAGAGGTGATGAAATATATTCCTTGACACCTTCTGCTAGCAGTGTACAACACCACATGATCTTTCCAGACACTTCCCTGACCAACATATGCGACTTTCCAGCACTTGTCTATGTTTTTCACTTATCATTTGACTCTCAGTTTTACCTTGTCTTCCCTGTGGATTTATCCGTGTCCTTCTCCTGCTGGGCTCCTCCTTTTTTGGGGCTCAGTGTCAGAAGGAGGTAGTACTGAGAGTGCTGCTACTGAGCTTTCTGTGCTCCAATCTTGCCCCAGCTGGTCTAGGGAAGGCTGAAAAGCCCCTCCTGTCTCCTCCTCAGCAGCCAAGTCCGGGGCAGAAGCAAAGCGCAGTATCATGTCAGTGCACTCTGGCAAAACCCAGCATAAGCTGCAGGAAAATGAAGAACTTCTCCAAGTCTGCCCGCTTACCTTTTGGGAATGAGGGTACTCAGGCCGTGAGCACATCACTCTGCCAGTTGTTGCAAAGCTTGTTACACCCTGAGGACAGGGCAGTGTCACTGCTGTAGGAGACCTGCGCATTGACTCGGTGCTCATGCCTTCAAAAGTGGGTTTGGGATTTGAAGTGACGGGATTTTGGGCACCTCAAACCCACCTGCCAGACCAGTTCAGAAGCAGCATCTTCCAGGGCCTTGGCTGCAGAGCATCTTGTTTGAAAACCCAGGCTCTGGGTAAAGACCTCCAAACTGGGGGCAACCTGAATCCCTGTTCACTTGGGGAGACTGTGGCTGGTGTACTCAGCACCGTGGTCAGACAGCTGCAGGGAGGGAGCAGCAGTGGGACACGGGCTGAAGGAATTGCAGTCGCGACTGGACACAGACCACAGCACTTCTGTGGGTGGGGTGACTCTGTAGCATGTGGTCCTGGTGGAAGGTGAGGGGTGGCTATCACAGTGAGGAGCTGCTCTCGGTTCACAGGGTGCTGACAGACAGGGGGAGGAGCACAGCACGTAAATACATCCATGCACAGCCACAGTCTGCAGTCTCTGGGGGCTGCTGAGAGCACCTAGATGTGGGGCTCCCCGGTAGCTGCGTTCCTCTTCTCAAACCTCATTTTGAGCTCTGACACGAGGGCATTGTGGGTGCTGCTATGACCTTTCTTCTTTGGTGGCTTGATTATATGCTTGGGGGTGAGGGAGCCGGACACGGTTGGCACCCGCCACCCTGGGGCATCGCTCCTGGGAGCCAGGGCAGGGGGTGGTGGGGGCAAGGGGGCTGATGGTGGCACGGGGGTAACTTGGATGTTGTTGTTGCTGTTCTCATTGTTCTCAGGTAGGCTCTTGACATCATCTTCAATGACAAACTTCTCCGCAGCATTGCTGGGCCTCTTGAACTTCAGCCACTCCATCCTGACTGTCCGGGATGGCGGGATCTGTCTCTTTTTTATGATCCTTCTTACCGGCATGATTTTGCTGGATCGCTTGTTGCGCCAGAACATGGCAGTAGAGATCATGATAGTTATCAGCACCATTATGCCCATGACACCAGCTAGCACTCCTAAGGCTTTCATGGGGTTATCTTTAGTTTGCATCAAAAAGGCGGCCATAGGCCCTTTGTGAAGAGTCTGTAAAGGAGTACAAAGAAAACACATGACTTACTCTAGGGGACAGACAATGACCCAGAAATTTCATTTGTCCAAAATATGTAACAAGCAGGGCTGATTGAAGTTGTCTCTAAGAAACATGAGAGTCAAAGAGCCAGTCCAAGGGTGGAGAATTTAGACAGGGCTGGAGACTGGGCAAATTAATACTGTGAGGTAGATGACTGTTGAACACAAAAGCTTACAGAAGTATTGCCACTAAATTAGGACAGATTCCTGCATGTCACCACAGTGCTTGTTTAACTTGCAAGAACAGAGCACGAAAATAATTGGCTCAATTACTGAGCATGGCATTGAAAAGAATATGAGAAAACTTCGTTTTATAAAATGGCAGTGTACAAATGAATAGTTAGCAGGTATGCGCTGCATTCTGTTTTCACGTACTCTTTTACAGACATAACAAAACTCTTTGAGGTAGGGGAGATGAGTAGAGCTAAAGAGCTTTGTTTTCAGAAAGAAAAGAAATAAGAAATGACATACGCTACATATGGCATATTAAGGACAAATGAATGGCCAGTTCACTTCCCAGGTTAGCACACTGTACGTCTCGGAGGTCCCCGTATAATTTTGCGGATTTTGCCCTGCGGGTGGAGCCTGGATCTTTTCACACTTTTCCAGTACATGATGGTGGAGATCACCATTGTAACAGAAATGGTGGAAAGGACGCCACTCATGCATATTCCAAATATTGTCCATGGACGCTTCTTGAGGCCTAAAATATAGGATTTTACCCTGGACTTGATCTGGAAATATCAAAAATAAGAGAAATGGTCAACCCTCACATGGTTATATATGAAAGAGGCCAGTATCTATTATAAATACAGCTGGGGAACTAGACTGAAATGTGTACAGGATTGAGAGCCTATAAAATAAAGAGAGCTAAGTGTTGAACTAGGCACAGGAGAAGAGGCAGTTGCAAAGATGTCGAACTGAATCCAGAAATACTAAAAGAAGTCAGGAAGCACATATAAACACCTGGCTGATTGGGGAATAAAGGGTAGCAGCATGGCACATAGATTAGGAATGGACCTGACCTAGAAACCAAAAGCAGAGCAGCCCATGACTTTGGTGGAGCTTAGATTCACATCAGCTTTGCGGATCTGCATTTCACGGATCTTTTTGTACTTAAATCCCATCAGATGACAGAAATTCTACCCTGGTTTACTTAACGTCACATGAAAGTCAGATGAATTAAGTGTCAGTACATGACCTCAAATCAGTCCACTTGTTATGAGTGTTGTCAAGATTTATTTTGTAGCGAGAGACTGATGGCTGAAAAGCATAGGACCAACACAAGCAGAAAGATGACATATATTTAAGAAGATGCTGTATCTCATTGATAATTATTCACTAGGTATTTGAAACCCTTGAATAAATGGTATGAGACAGAAGTACATGTTGCTAGTGTACTACAGTTGCAGGGGTAAAACCTGATGAAACTTGTAGGGGCAGTTTCAGCATTTGGTTTCTTTCAAACCCCTGGTCTCAGCAAGTTTGTCACCTGTTCAGAGCTTCCAGTGATGAAGAGATAATTAATACCAAAACTAAAACTATTAACAGTTAGCTGGTTCAGCCTCTCTTCTAGTTACTGGACCTGTACTAGACAAAGCTTTGTCTAGAATTATCCTTGAATAACAACTCTTTTGTAATGTCTGCATAAAAACATCAGGCATTTTTGTAAGCACACAGTGGGAGAATTCCTACTTGTCATGGCTGTGACACTCACAGGATAAATAGGAGGAATAAGCCAGGAATTTCATCATCTTAGTCAGCCTTCAGAGAGGCTTATGGGAAGTGCATTTGTCACCAAAAAAACTGCGTTCTTGTCTGTGTCATCACTGTGGCCCAGTCAGTTAATACCCAGAACAGCTCTGAGAAAGGTCTGAGCACATTCTAATAGTGAAAGTCTGAGAGCATTTGGACAAGTCAGCTGAAGCAGGTTGGCCCTGAGCACTACCCTGTAGGTTTAAAACACCTTCAGATCCTTTTGTCAATTACCAACAGTTCCACGGGGCTGGGTCAACAAATAGCGTCACTTTGTAATCGCTGAAGCTGTTGTTTTTTCACGAGAGGCATGTTGTATTTTGAAGAGTATATACAAAAGAGCACATATAAAACAAAAGCAGATACATAATGAAATGAAAGCTGCCATATTTCTGTGGGCCAGAAGCTGAAAGAAACATTTTCTTTCTTAACAGGCATCACAAGAGTTAAAATACCACTGCTCACAGAATGCTCTGCTGGTTTTTTGCTGTGGCAGCTTCTCCAGAACCTTTCCTAATGCATGGGTTGCAGTGAGCAGAGCAAGTGGGCCATGTATCCAAAAGCTGGACCCAACAGGAGTGCGTGGTTGAGCTGTTCAATCACAAGACCAGCTAAGGCTCACCAGCTATATTTAAAAGTCTAAGTAAGCAGACGAAGCTGTTAAGAGATCAAGCTATTGCAGATTATTGCACATGTGGCACTTAGGGACATGGTTTAGTGGTGGACTTGGCAGAGCTGGGTTAACAGTTGGACTTGATGATCTTAAAGGCCTTTACAAACCTAAACATGTCTATGATTCTATTACTGACAACTCAGCCTGTGTGGACTTGAGCAAGTGGATCTGTACAATGAACCAGCTGGTTCTGAGGACCCCACATCCACACATTCAGCATTTCTGGGGTTTTGCTCCAGCCTTGTTGCAGGGATGGACTGCCTATTAGCGCCAAGGCACACTAAGTGTGTCCCCAAATACATTTTCATCTGAAAGAAGTCCACTTTGTGTGCTTGGAGCTATCTGAGACACAGGCCATCCCACAGCATGTAGGGATGAGGAGGAGATTTGCTTAAGAAGTGACTCCTGATCCGAGGTAGAACACAAGCTGCCCCTACAGTGCTTATCCCAAAGTGCAGTGCTATCACCATATATGAAAGTTGTGTTTACATCACTTTGTAATACAAACACCAGCATGGGGCAAGACTTCTCAAACCAAAGCAATCTTTTTTCAAGTCCATGGAACTGTGGAAAGAAGAGTCTACCAGCTCTGCAAATGTGGCAAAGGCTGTTTAGTGTCATCAACCATAGTTCCCATGGTTGCAGAGTCAGGATTAGAGGAGGACATCTCCATGTTAACTCACAGAAGATTTTTGTTGAACCTTTCAATTAGGACAATCTAAAACTGAGACTCACCAGCTATATTTAGAAGTCTAAATGAGTGGCCAAAGCTATTAAGAACTACAGATTATGCTGTCTAAATATGGACTTAAGCCTCAGTCCATGAACAGGTGTAAATAAACGCCCCCCTATATTTGCAGAACCTCAGTGGAGTCAAGAGGCAGAGGGATGCCCTCATGAGGCCAACCTTCAGAATCAGGAGCGGGAATCAGCTCCAGGTTTCTGAGTAAGACATAAGGATGAAAAGAGAGTGACTTTTCCAGCAGATGTTTTTTAATCTGTTGAGAAAGAATAGAAAATAACCAGATGCCACTCAATACCAATTTCCATAAAATCAGACTCAGTTAAATTAAAAGGCCTCTGGATTTTTTTATCACTGCATTATTCCAGGAGAAAAAGGTCCTTTTGGTGTGCATTACTGGTGAACTTAGCCACAAGGCATCCATCTCAAAGGGCACAGTCTTGTGCTAATTGCAATGATAAACGTTAATTAGAAAATATGCCCATTTAATTACTTACTGTGATTAACACTGCAGGAAACCTGTAGAGGGTGCATTCAAAAATACCCTCCTTATCCAAAATCAGTAATATATAAATGTCCACCAAAGAGCAAAATAAGAGCCTTTGTACAGCTAGAGCACAGGGGGATGAAATGTACATTTGTAAGAGCCTCAGAGAAAGAGAGTGTGTGTGTGTGTGCAATATCCCTATACTAACAGACTGTTTTCTTCACGAAGTGTTAGCAGTGACTGGGACACACTGTCCCTGGGACACAGGGAATGAGCAAGGGTTTTGTACACTGGCACTGCATCTCACACACATGAAATCTGAAACCTGTTTCTGCAAAAGGATGTGATGCTGTTGGATAAAACCAAACCAAACCAAGCGAAACCAACACAAATCATTGCAAGCAATGGAAGAAGTAATGGAGACATGTACAAAAGCTTAAGGAGGATGTGACATCAGATTAGTAGTCCAGATCCTGCTGAGGAGACCTACTCAAAGAAAGAAGATGCTGTTGCTATCTCAGGCTCTGTGTTGGGACTTGGCATTGAGAAGAACATGGGAAGAAAGGAAAAACTGAAAAGAATCCATGTCTTCCCAGCCCTCTCTGCTTCCCTTTGGACTTTATCAGGAGAGGTGCTCCCTCACTTCCTGCCAAAACCGTACCTCTGGAGGGGAGAAGAGGAAGCATAGAGGGGGCTTCATGTAAGACACATTCTTTCATCAGGTGCTGCTGTTGCTTCAAGCGCTAGAAGGAAATCCAGGAAGCTCTTTATCCCAAAGTATCAGCTTTGCCGCCTTCTCCCCCAGCAGAGGAGGCGTGGGGCACCCTCTCTGCACTCGACACCCATCAGCTCTGTACCTTAGCCCCACATGTTAATGGAGAGGTTACCAGCTCATCCAGGAGGGCAGGGAAGGCTGAAGGTCAACAGCAGAGACAGTGCCTGGGTCCACCTGGTGCCACGCACTCCTGAAACGGGCACCCTGAGAAGCCTGGAAGCAAGGCAGGGAGGGCAAGTGCTCCCACTGCTGGCTGCGGGCAGCAGTTCTTATTTGTTATATAAACCCCACCACAACTTATGTTTCCGTGAGAAATCAAAGTGTCAAGTAGTTTTTTTCCTTTACATGTGTAGGAATGGCTAAATCTCTAGACTTGTCACGGAGACCCAGCATGCACAGCCCCCCAGCTCCACGTGGCGGAGCCTTGCAGTGACATGCTCTGCCCATGCCGAGCTCTGTCACCTGCAACAGGGCTGGCTGGCCCCAATAGGCAGCCCCTGCTAGGGCAGACCCAAGTCCTCTGGCAGTCCTGGTGGGACAGGTACTGACATCAGGGATCAGGAGATACTCCTGTGTTGCTGGTGGCCAAGTTTATCTTGCTGATGAGTGCAAGTGATCTCTGCGGACACCTTTTACCTTGCCGCAGGCTCTGAACTGTACACAAGAACAATCATATGAATGTGGTTCATAAGGAGTAACAGCAGAATAAGAGGAGATGGAGAAAACAGAAGAAGATTGTAACAGAGAAAGGAGCAGTGGGAGCACTGTGACCAAACAAAGAGATGGCCAGCTGCTATCTGTAGGATGAGATTAGCATCTTTGCCCAGTATGTGTGTGGTCCAGAGACTGTCAGGCTAATGATGTGTTTCTCATCTACTTTAAAGCCCATTTCCTCCCTGCTGGTACCTACTTAAAGGCATGGCAAGGCGGTTACAATAAATAAGAATCATGCAAGCATGTGCTGCACACCATAAATCGCTGCTCGTTCTTTGGCTGACACAAAAGTTGGACTAAAGGGAGACTCTCAACCTCCACGGTCTACCTTTTAGAGTCTTCTTTTTTCATCTGCTAATAATACTTCAGTTATTAAACTCACATCCGAAATTCTAAGTACTTTAAAGCATTTCTATAAAGTTTTTAAAAATTTTTCCTATGTCATTTATGTTGACTTGCACAACTACTCTGATTTATTTCATTCTGGTCCCAGCTGCTTTCCACTCATTTTTGTAAGGAAAATGATTTTTTTCTTCTCCTGAATGAAAAAAAACACCCAAAAATTTAGCAGTTAGGATTTACCTTTACTCTCAGGAGTCTATAGTCCTTAATTTACTTCTATCTCTAACAAACAGATACAAGAAACTCATCTTCCAATCACATTATGCTCCTACCTTTGTACCTTTACAATATTTCTGGTCAAAATATCTTTTACATTTGTGGCTGTAGAATCCAAATTCACCACAAGGTTCTAGAAACACTCTACAAAACAGAGCTAGCAACAAAGTCTCAGACAGGGAGCAAGCAATGCCTGCCCTTTGGTGCCTCTCAAGGATTGTCTCACATGAGGATTTTTCTAAAACATTTGCTTACCTCTTCTGTGATATCGATCTTCAGAACTGCTGTGGTACTGAAGGACGGGGAGCCTCGGTCTTTGGCCTGTACCACCAATGACCATATGCAGTCTTTGTTTTTTGTGATGTTGTGGATGATGTCCAGGGAACGAATATAGGATTTCAGCTTGATTTCCCCAGTGCTTTGGTCTATATCAAACACGTTGGCTGGGTCTGCTTGCATGATGGAATAATCCACGATATTGTTGGGTTCTTCTGCATCTTGATCTATAGCCTGGGAGGGGAAGTGTGAAAAACAAAGGTGTTATTATTTGTATCTTTGCCTGAGGACAAGAAGCTTCTGAGCATTCACTTCTGATAATATCCGTGCCATGACTGGGCTGGTTTTATTTTATCTTGGAAGCTATGCTACACTTTCTAGTGCAAAACAGCAGGTCTAGAGTTCTTTTTGTATAAGTGACTTCTGTGTGAGATTAAATAAAATCATAGGAAAAACTGAACTCTAACCTATCTGTAGAATAAAAATGGTCCACTGCTGGGGAACTCCTTACACAGCGTGGAGGACAAGTGTGAAGTGATAGAGAACAATGGAATTAGCTCCATGCCATAAACTGTAGCTGCCTTAATTTTTGTGCTGTGGTATTTATTCCACTAACATTACATGTTGTGCAATCAGGCTTCACGATACGCATTCAAATATGTGTAACATAGGATGTTCTGCTCCTTTGCCTGTGAATTGTTATTGCATTTTTTTACCTTCTGTTCCACACTGGATCAATGAATACATCTCTACAAAGCAAAGGGAAATAAGTCGTGTGGTTGAGCACAAAGGGTGTCAGGAAGGTTAAGTATTCAAAACCCTGTACTTTCATTCACTCATCTTATTTGGACTTCTTATGATCACTATATAGTCCTCCACTAGCTGATGGTTCAAATACTGTAACAGCATTTTATATTTTGCCTATGGAATTTATTTCTCCTTCTCAGCAGCCTGTAAATACTATAATTCACACTTTAATCCATTTGTTACATCCAAATGGATGTGCAAAATAAAGCTGCAGGAAAAGCCAGCTTTCAGACATTCATCATGACCCCTCGGAATAAACAGCAGAGCTGGGGCTTTTCCAAAGAACTCTGCTTGGTGACACACAGTGCTGTCCCTCACCTCTATCTTCACCGGTGACCCAATGATCATCGTCTTTTCCTGGATGTTTTCATTGAACTCTGGAGAGTGGTCATTGACATCTAGCACAGTGATAAACACTTCAGCCAAGCTGTATTTTCCATCTGTGTCCTCTGCTTTCACATAGAAATTATACTTCGAGTTCACTTCAGCATCTAACACAGCCCAGGGCTGGGTGTAAATTATGCCTGTTGATGGGTGGATTAGGAACCTGGAAAAGAAGCAAGAAAAGACTTTTGGGTTTTTTGGTCACTTAATGCATGCTTAGAGCCCAACTTTGCCTCAGGCTGTAAACACTGAAATGCTGTGCCCAAAGACTGGTTCTCTTCACCTAAATCCTGTCTGGCTGATCTTTCCAAATCCTTTGCTCTACCTATTTTTTGTCTAGTTCCTTTAGATTTGAAAATCAGAGAACTATCAGTGTCTTGTGTGTTTCTATCTGTTGTGCATTAGCCATTTTAGCTCCATTTTCCGTTAAAAGTCTTTGTCCTCAGTAAATGCTTGGTGTGATGGCCTTCTCCCAGAGTGATTTCCTTGCATTAAAACATTAAGCCTATTTTGACTTTTTTTTTTTCCCCAGTTTAACAGTACAATGTATTAGATCACGTCCTGCATAAATTAAGATTTATTATATCACCTGTATCACCTGGATAGCTAAGGGAAGTGTGCTGCATATCATAGTTAAGCTCTTCTCAGAATGGGTAAGAAAAATGTCTGCTCTCAAATCTCCCAAACTGCAGGGTAAATTATCTTCTCCAAAAATAATCACTTTTCCATAGACTGGCACTGGGATGGAGTGGGTGTTCAGATTTATCTGTTTCAAGTTCAATTCTACACATTTGTAATTACTGAGACACTGTCAAAAGTGTCAGCCCAAAGCTTGGATTTATAGAGAGGATACCAATGCAGTGCCTTTTTAAAATGGACTGCTGATGTAGACTCCAAGCAGTAGGGCTTTAACAGATGAAAGCTTTTATATACCCTTTGATTAATGTACAGGATAACAAAATATTTTCTGTATTCCCACTGTGAATCCAATTGAAAGTGATTATAAAAGGGGCACTTAGTAATCCAGAATCTTCAGTTATTCTCATTACCCTATTAAATATAGACACAAATTTTGATGAGAGCCAAGACCTGGAGGTGGAAATAGCTGTGCAAACTCTAGGTAGGAGACAGTGCCTGTGCTAAGTGCCTCCTTAGCACCCGACCCAGTCTAACCATGCAGAGAGTACTCTCATCACTCCCATTTTAGTGGAAAAATAGAAACACTCCCACTGGCAGCTTGGATTACAAAGATAAAATTATCAGCACAATGTTTTTATCTTCAACAGTTAACACTATTTATCTTACTCTAGTACAATTCATTTTTCTACCTGTGTAACTGCACATCCACTGATGTAACACCCAAAACATAAAACATCATACCTCTAATTGAAATTCTCAAATTTGCATCAAACTGTGTGTTCAGCAGATCTGGAGATGCTAGAACTAGAAAATCAATCCAGCCTTTCAGAGCTGTGCCATTCTGGCACAAGAAAATTAAAGAATACTTTAGAAGAAAGAAAAAAAGTCTTCACATTATGATTTCCTCATTCAACAGCATAAGAACAGCAAGTCTGAGCATCCCCACAATGCCAATCAAAATAAAGTTGCACTTATATTTTTTCTCCTTAATCCTTTGTCAACAACCTTCACAAGCTTCTTTGCACCAGCTGCTACATTCTAAACCTAAGAGGTCTGCCTGCATGACATGACCTTTTCTTGCTTGTCTCTCTGCAGTTAGCAGCTAGCTTAAAGACTTAGTGAAGAGGCTGAAAATAATCCATCGTGGAAATGCTCCTATATGTGTATCCTTCTGGCTACAGAAGAGGTTCACCCTTAACATCTTGGATTTTGGACTTTGATTGTGTCTCCTAAACAGCTTTCACCTTTACAAGAAGAGTTCAGCTTCAGCTCCACGTGGATAACGTGCAGAGAAAAATGGATTCTGGGGATGAGTGCCTGAAAAGCTCATTCATTTCCAGTGCTCTGCCCTGCAGCCCCACCACGTCCAGGAGCTGCAGGATCCAGCAGTAATATCTGTGACAGCCATGTCACTGATGCCAGCCACGTCTGGGAGCCCCAGCCAATGGGCCAGATGCTGGGATGGACCATGCTGGGATGGACACAGTGACAGAGATGTTCTCCCCCAGAACTGTCCCCCCAAAGACAGTGAGAGAGTGGTAGGCATCACTACCAAATCATGTAGGCATCAGATTTTTTTCTTCCCTGATGCAGGACTATTAGGTTTAAATATAACATCCAAAACAGTTGACCTCCAAAGCTGAAGTTTATATTCTTGAATGCCTGGTCTTCTTTGACTTCTTTTGACAAGAGTTGAAACTGAACTATTTGTACAGCCATATGGACAGGCAAGAGGAAAGAACAAGGGATTTTTTTTTTCCAGAACTGACTTTTCACAATTAGGCCAAACCCTCCTCTTTCTCTTACAGGCGTTTTTCAAATAGTGATTGAAAAAATCCTGTATGTAGATACTTTGGCTGTCTTATGTGTCTTTGGGGGTTTGTGGATAAAATTCCTTGGGTTCATGAAGCAGATGTTTAATGATCACATTAGTTCTTCTGTTGTTGTTTTCAGAGAACTCACAAAGAACATGGCATAAATGTCCTTGGAAATGAGCAGGTCAAGAATAAGCATGTTAGTTTTTTCTAAAATTCCTTAAAACCTCTGCTTAGAGATTACGTATTTTCATTTATTTATGTATTACTTACAGATCTGCTCCTGTTCCATAGATAGAGTACTTGATTTCTCCCCAAAGCCCTGAATCTGGATCTGTAGCCTTAAGAAAAGGAAAACAGAGTCATCCTTTACTGAAATGCAAACCCAAATGTTTCATTTCCCTTTTAACAACAGGCCATGAAAAACCCAAATGCGTTTCCCTCTTTTTGTCATCACACTTTCAGTGGGAAATCGCATGAGCAAATATGCACAATTTAACACCAGGAAATGTCACTGCCAGTCCCAGGAATGCTGTTCAGATGCCGCCTGTCCTTGGTGCCTGGGGGCTCTGGCAGGGAGAGCAACGCTAGATGGCCCCATCCATCCACAGTTACCTCATTCTCCTTCGATAGAGATGGAGATAATCTCAATGATGTGAACACACTGCCCGCTCTCAAGCCTTCCTAATTATCAGTTAAACATTAATGAATATTCCCTAGGCAAAATTATTTACTTTATATAGAGTATTTTTAAGCTTCTGCTTGTTTAATTGATTCAATTTAAAGTAATACATAACAAATGTTTCAATCTATACACAATATTTCAGCTTTGTTTACGTTTTAATCACTCTTGTGCCTGTGTGACTTTTAGTAACGCAAATACTATGCCAGATGATATCTTTGATACTCTTGTTGGCTTCCTCTCTTAGCTCAGGATTAGGAAAGCTATTGATTTGGTAGCAGCTATTTCCATAAGCTCTTGCCTCTCTGATAGCTCTGAGGAGGTGTTATATTATACTGTTGTATCTGGCCATCAAAACTCGTGGTGGCAGTGGCTGATTCATTCATCTTTCTGTTTAAATATCTGAAAACTGGAACAATGTCTTTGATTCCTGCATGGTTAACATAACACACCTGCATCCCTACTGATAGGGGTTGTTTTGTTCTTTGGCACGAGCTTGTCAGATTCTCTCACCTCACCATTTTGACCGCAGCTGACTTTAGTACTGTCTAACTTTTCCTAAAACATTTGCACACTTGGGGCTTCTTCCAGAATTGCCATTCTGCGTACTTGGAGCATCTTAGCTTTTCAAGTATATTTGTGAATCTGGGTCAGGTTGACAGCACATGACTAAATTTTACACAGACTCCTCAGCTACGTTGTCCTGTGAACTTTGGCTCAGAATGGCTAGTTTTGTTGTTTCTGCAAACATTTTTTAAATTGCTTTTTTCTTGCTGCCCACCTCCTAGAATTTTTTATTCCTCTTACCTCTAAGATAGTGATGTTTAGGAGTCTCTGTTTTCTAAAGCTTTCCTATTAGTTTCCTCTAATAATATTTTCTGCACTGTTTATGTCCAACTTCTTTTTTGATTCTTCCATCCCTAAAATTTGACTTCAGCACTTTGTTATTCCGATTATTTAATTTTCTTTCTTACTTGTAGCCAGCCTGTGCTGGAGATCTCTGGCAACCTGCCTCCACCATCCTTACCCATGAGACCTGTGCAAAGTGACTTGCATCACCCATTGAGCCCCAAGTGGCCAGCAGCTTTTTTGGCTGTGTGACATGAGGTCTGCTTCCAGTCGCAGCAGCTGCAATAAAGAGATACAGCTCACACTGACAGCTGGAAATGTTCCTCCACCACACAGGGCCCATGTAACACCCTGACTTTCCTTCTATGAAAATGTGAGATAACTGGAAAATCTATAGGCATATTTTTCCCACTATGAGAAGATACTTACATACGTATCATATGTTTGTCCCAGCCCTAAACATTTTAATGTTATGTTCCTGCCTTCATTAACTGTTTAATTATGCATTTAGCAGCCAGATTCCTCCCAGGAGGAGGAGACTAATACCTACTAAGCAGCCATGTTGTTTTCTTTTTACTCCTACTTAAGCAAGCAAATCCAGTAAATCCAATTCTGCTTAGCCATAACTGAATCTTCCCACTGGACACTGATTTGGTTGGGGCTTTCTTAATACTCACAGGCCATGTGATTTGTCTTAAAAGCAGATGGCCTTTAATTAAAAACCAAAGTAAATTTGTTGTTCTGGAAAACGTTTGCCTAAAACCTTATTTTTTCCAGAAGTGGGTCTTTTTTTGTGTGTGTGTGTATTCTGGAAGGGAATTGGAGTTCAGTCTGGAAGCTGAATAGCGAGTAGGATTTACTACTTGCCTCTGTCCACTATTTTTAAGGTACTTGAACAGTCTTCACAGAAACACAGAAAAGAGAGCATTTCTTAAGAGGTGAATGAAACTTACTGTAACAGCAACCACGTTTGAGCCCCCTGGAGAGTTCTCAGGGATCCTGGCAATGTAGTAGTCAGAGGAGAACTTAGGGACGTTGTCGTTGGTGTCCAGCAAGCGAATCACTATGTCAGCTGTCGAGCTGAATTTCTCCGGCGTGTTCACCTCTATCGCAAGAAGCTAAGGAGAGAAAGCCAGGAAGTCAGTACAAAGCAGCTATTGTTTTTTACTTAAGGAGCTTCCTCTGCCACCCATGGCTCACTGGTGCCTTTTAGCCTGGTTGGACCAGACGGCTCAAACCCAGGGAGATGATGAGCTAGGTCAGCATATGGCCTAGGCGCATTAGATTTCATGTGACAGATGTGACTGGTCATAACTAACCAACACAGCTGGAAAAGCCATAACAGAGGTAAACACCCATCCCTGGGCAGTTCCTAGAAATTAGGGAGACATAAGCACTGAATTATTTTGAATAATTTCGTAACAATCCCTTGCAGAAGAAGCAAAAGTTCTTCCTCAGGAAAGAAGTCAGGACAATAAACCGCACCAAACAGGGTAAAGAGATGAGAGAACCAATGCTCTGGGATGTTTGGAAGCAGCATTACCCCTACCCCAAATGCTGGATGGTCATGCATCAGGCATGTACAGCAGAATCCCATTTCCCAAGGTTTGTGAGAATTCCTATTTATCAGACTTGGGACTTCTACCCTCGCTCATACAGATTAGGACTGTATCAGATATCCACAGGGGCTTTTGAATTGCCTCTCTATCTCTGAGGAGAACAGAGAACTCTGGCATCCCACATTCTCCTAACTCTGCTCATCTGACTGGACAGGCAACCACATACAGCTAAACGAGGAATGGGGAGAAGCCAGCAGCATGGATGTTCTGGCTGGCTGTTAGCAGAGCTTAATGCTAGTAACAGGCCTAACTGATCCTCAGCTGAGGGTAGCTGGCACTGTTTGGTTAGCAAGTTGGGTTCTCACATTGCCCCTTAACGCACGGCTAATTGATGCAGGGAAGAGCAGCCACCAGAGAGAAGGAAGAGGATAACCCAGGCATCTGGCATGTGGTAGTTCTCAGTAGGTCGAGTTCTCATATCCCCACTTGGGAAGAGACCCAAGCAAGTGTTTGGTGAGTCACTTCCAAAGCCACAGATAAGCATAGGACTTCAGCTACTTAGCACAGAATGTTTTGTCTCCTGTTCTTAGTTTAACACAAAAAGTTCAGTAAGACACCTGATCTGGTAGAGCATCAAGCTCAGGTGGTGTGTGGCTGAGCAAGGAAGAGCAGCTTCAGCAACAGAGAGGCACCAGGACCTTCACAGCCTCTGCCCCAGGTGTCTGTCCCTGTTGAGTGTGTGCATCACACAGAGTCAGCACTAGGACATCAGTCCTGGGCTCTGTCCTGGCTGCATCTGAATGACTAACACCATGAACCATGGTCTAATGTTTGGTTTCCATGGCTGGGCAGAGACCTAGTTAACACAGAGCATGTGGGCTCTAGGACCCTACTGGTGACAGCACACCAGTAACAGACTGGTGAGCAGGACACTAACTGAGACATGACAGGCTCAGCTGAAAAATCTGGCTGCACAGGTTTTAATCACTCGCCGGGCCCTCAGACTCTCTCACCATGGCACAGCTCCATGTGATGCTCAACAGCAGTGGCACTGCTGACTGGCCTGGGGGGTACACACTGTGCTCCAGTCCCTGCTCTGCCAGACTCGAATGCCTCTATCATCTCGAGGTGACAGGGAGGGTGGGGAGCAGTTTAAGTAGACAGGGAAAAGGCTATCTCAGTATCATCTCCTAGGGCTGTTCCTGCTGTGTGAACATTTATAGTGGTTGGAAATAGTGTGAAAGGGTACTTGAAAAAATTAATCTCAAAGGATTGCTTACGATTACTCAGGACACATCTGCTCTAAAAGGTGAGCCTGGTCACTGCATCTCTGTGCTAACTTTTGTGTTTAGGAGTCTCAGGTGGTGCCACAGCATAAGATATCTTTGAAGGGACAGTTATACACACATCAGCAAAAATCTCCCCATGAGCAATCTCAGTTCCTGAAGCAGGACAGAGATAAAATCTTAGTGCTTATCGTGCACGTGGAGCTATATCTAAATTATAATATCTGCAGTGAAATAATCTTTGCTGCTGGGATCAGCCCATCTTAGAATACCTTATGAGAGCTTAGTATTTTTACTTTGTTTTCTACACTAATTTTTATTTCCTCTCCTTTTAGCAGCCACAGTCCAGCTATGTCAACATGCTGAAAACATCTTCCTTCAGGAAGGAATTTTTGTTAGCTTACTTGCCTGCAGTATCTTATGCAGATCTGTGTTGTTTGTTTTATGCAGAGAGAAAAAAAATAGCATAGAACTATTACTCTGCAGGACTACATATCAACTTTTAACTCAATATCCAGAAGAGCAAGCTGACATGCAATCTTAAAAGTGACAGGTAAATTTTTAAATAGAGTTTGATTTGGCAATTGGAGATAACGGCAGCCTCATCTGGTCCCTCTCTGCAGGAGATGTGAGTGTCTGCAGAATGTCCAGGCTCCTGCCAAGGCACAGTGTACTCTAAGCTGAAGGAGGTGGAGGCAGGAGGTCTGGCCCACAAAGCATGTCAGCTCATGACAAGATGGGACAGCAATATCTGACCCCCACGACAGAGGAACTTGAGATCTAAGAGGCCAGGCTGGAGGCATATGAATTACCATAGCTGCCATACTGCTTGAGCTCTTAGCTGAAAATGAAGTCCTGACTACTAATTACATGTAAGAGCCAGCCCTAAATGGAAGATAGATTTCTCTAGTAGCCTTTGCTTAGGAAGTTTTTCAGTGCATCTCCCAGCTGAATTAGCTTTAATTCCACTCTGGCATTTTACTCTTCAGAAACAAACCAGAGGAGAGGGATCATTGCTTACAGGAAAAAAACCCCTGAAAATAACTTCTCAAAGCTGCTGTAAGATACACATTAAATAGAAACATTAAAATATTTCATCCAAAATTCTAACCAGAATTACTACATTAGCAGCTGAAACTGGGTAGGAAGTGATTTGAACTTTTCAGGAAAATGAAGACAGCAGTGAGGTCTTTATAAAGTATTTGCTACCATATATTGCTACCATATCATCCAACTGCACCTTCTCCATTTGGAATCTAGACAAAGGCTGCACTTTTGAAGCAATGCCTTATGGTCTCCACTAGAAATATTTCATGAAATTCTTTCTCCAGTGGAAATAATTTCATTAAAAAAAAGTTAGCAACTGCTTAAGCTACAAGAATATATATATACTTTTTCCTGGTAATTAATTCTTTTGGTATTCATGGAAATCACATTAACTACTTTGATTTCTATTAGTATTCACGAGGAGGCCATGTGTAACTCCTTTGCTGGTCTTTCGGTAGTTTAACCTGAATAAATGTGCACTTATTGTAATTAGTTTTGGTAGCACTTTATGGCCCTTTCAGAATCTTTCACTTTAATACAGTAATGACGCTTCATATTTTTGTAGCATCTGTAACCTATGAAGCTCAAAATGGCTAAGGAACATTACAAGAGGAGATGCGAAACGTACTGCAGTGAAACTTGCTAAGGACAAAAAGCAAATCATATAGGAAGGGGGAAAACAAAATTCAGGAATTTTGGCTTCTGGACCGTGCAAAAAATTCCACTTTCTGTACATTACAAAACTAGCATATGTAAATACTCAACTTGATAATTTTGGCATTTTTTTTTAAACTGATTTTCTATGCAATTCTTTGCGATTAGAACTGAACCATCTATGCTGATGTTCAGAGGTAGCTGACACAAAACCAGACTACTTAGTTATCTTGTTGACGAGCCAGAGAATCCATCAGGGAAGGTGATAATGGAAGGTTTCAGTTTTTGGATGAAAGCTGGTTCTTGCATGGCTGGTTTAGAGCATGGGTGAGCCTCAGGTCAGCCTGCAAAAGGCCATAACATAGATAGATTCTGACAAAGGCAGTGAGCAATTTTGGGAAATTATCTTCCAGTCAGCTGGGGTCTTCAGCCTGCCAACATTCAAAAGTATGATCATGCATCAAATTACTTAGCACTAAGCAGGTAAAGTTCTGGCTCCAGAGAAATCAGGATTTCATCCTGTGAATTTATTATTGTGAGAGCAGAAATAACACCCTCAGGGTTCAGTCTAGAATGACTCAGAGCCACCAACATGTACAGTTCCCAGAGAGAGATAAAAATCAACACTGTGCACTGACCAGGCTAAATCAGTCCACAGATGCATCCATTAAACCTTGGGAAGGTGATGAACCAGAGGCAGAAATGAGTTTCCCTTACATGTAATATCATGTCACTGACAATGCATCAGACAGCTCCAGATGGATTAAGAAGCTAAATAACCTCAGATACAGAAGCCATCATACCCACAATGTATACACTGACAAAGAGGACCTGAAAAGTACCTTGAAGGTTAACACTTTGAAACTTTCAAAGTCAATAGCAGCAGAATTTTCCACTATTATTGTAACCTGAGCCTCATTCAGGACAGTTTGGGGAACCACTCGGAAGATGCCACCAGGTCCAACAAGGCGGAGGTTGAATTTAGCATTGGCTCCCTGTGAACAAAAGCAGATATAGCATGGTTTTCAGTGAATGATGCATTTCTTACAGCCTAGATGCTCTGATTCTTCAAACTGTACAAAATAAGAATGGGTCTTACTGCTTAGAGCCCTCTGCTTTCCATCCCTTGGGGAAGAGACTCCTAAGAAGCTTAGTTGTATAATCCCTCCAGCCCTGGTCACAAGACAGACACAGCTTTTCTTAAAATAGATTGACAAGCTTGGTTATTCTTTCAGTCATAATGGAAAAACCTGCAGCAGGATTGGCTGAGAGAGGGATCTTGTGGCAAGCAACCTTGGGCTTCGTGCCACACACTGTGAGCTACTGCAGGTGACAGAGATGACAGCACATGCACATCAGCAGGCAAGTCCTGCCTCTTCCTCGTTCCTGTTAAGGAAAGACAACTGAAGTACTTGAGCAAGGACAATGGAACCCTAAAAAAACCAGTCTTATAGAATGGTTTGGGCTGAAAGGGACCTTATAGTTCACCATGTTCCAACCCCCCTGCCACAAATAGGGACGCCTTCCACTAGATCAGGTTGCTCAGAGCCCCATCCACCAGGCCTTGCACACTTCCAGTGTTTGGTCTGTGTCTAAGAACTCACAACCTGTGAGATTTTAGGGATGATCAAGATGCAGAGTCACAAAGACATGCAATTTCCAAACAGAGGTGATGCTCCACATTTTGCACTGACTGGATTAAGCTAGCCCAGAGTTGCAGGCACTAAACCTTCTGGAAGTTGATGGACCTGGGGGTTGGAAAGGACCTCCACTTGTGCAGAATAAAATCTTACACACACACTTGTCAGCTCCAGGTGAAGTGAGAAGCCAAATCCCATGACAGAGATAAACTTCCTAGCCGGAAAGAATATGGGAAGCAGCAGTATCCAAAAGGTTACCACCACTTGTGTGTAAGCTGGGGAGAATGAGCCAGATGGTCAGACTGATTCTCTTAAACCAAACTGGAACATGAAAGAAGATGAAATGGGGATTCTTATATTTCTACCTTACAGAGAAGATGAGAAAATGAGCTGAGCCCACCACACCAAACTCTAAGTTCACCAGTTTCTCAAACAATGTCATGTTTACACTGTGACAGACAGATTCACTGCCTGGCTGGTGTCATGTTCTCCCCCTAGCATGAATCTTGAGATGAAAAATTTCTAATAATAACTTGCAAACAGGACAACTCTACTTTCAGCTGTATCCCTGGAGGGCTTGTTATGAGCAGCTCTGGATGCAGCCCGAGCTCATGTCAAGAGAAAAAGCATTCAGCAGCAGTCCCTTAAGGGAAACAAAATGACCTTGGATCCAAACTCAGTGGTCTGCATTGTTTGGTCACACAAACCCAGTCCCCAGCTACAGAGATGATGACAGGGTCTCTTTTGCTGGACACTAAAGCCAAACACACAACGCCAGAGCTCCTGAACTATGGAAAATAGTGCTGATGGCAAGAGTGGACAGTCTGACCACACAAAGTCCTCTGCACTTGGGACTGTACATGACTAGAAGAAGGGTGGCATGGGATGGGAAGAGAACTGCCTCCCTCCAATAACTGAGTGATTTCTGCCAGTGATGTCCACTGAACCCAGATCTGCTCAGAGCAAGACAATGTCTCCAAGCAGACAGCCATGGGACACAGGAAGGACTGAAGGAACAGCAGCACTGAGCCCTAAGGTCTGCCTGTTGAAGAGGTCTGGGGGAGAAATTTCTGCCTGATTTTCTTGCATGTAAAGATGGCATTTCCATCTGGCCTACACCAGACTTTGCCCACAGCTTCCTCCTCCTCATCTGTACCATCCACTCCCCCAAAAGGAAGAGTCACTAATGGCTGTGACAGAAACAGACATGTTTAATTTTTTTCCTCTCTACACACTCGTCTTATGTGGAAGGGAAAACATTGCATTCTCTGCCTTAAAAGAAAAGCAACCCATCCCCTCTAGAGCAATGTCTTACATTGCACTAGGAAGCTTCTTGAAGAAATCTATACAGTGTATTTATCAATGTTTTCTGCTTATTTTACAGCCTAACTTGCAGCCTGAATATTTTGTCAGCCTAGATATATATTTTGTCTCTAAATAGAAGAGATGGGTTTTGTTTCTTTCCTTCTGCAGCAGCAGCCCCTGTGACAATAGCAGGATAGACGTAGCACTGCTTTGAAAGCAGTCATTTATCTGCTTGCTGCAGAGCAGCAGAAGGGAAGGGGAAGAAGCCAGTGGGTTTGATAAAGTACAATACCATCAAACAGCACAATACTGAGCACAGTTACAGAAGAGAGCCCTTTCCAATAGTAATATAGTTCTCAGAAGCATTAAGCTTTTTTTCTTGTCACTACCTAACCTCAGGCTAACTCAGATGGATGTCATTCATACAGTATTTAGGGATCCCTATAGCAACCATCACCATAGTATCTACCGGCATCACAGGTCAGTTAGACTGCAGGCTGAGATGGATGGAGTCTTCTTTCCTTTTCCTTTACCTGGATAGAGTTAGTTTGGCTCTGGCATAATTTTTAAGACTACCTAAAAATATCAGTCCAGTGGGAATGATTTATCAAAGCATGCACTGCAGACCTTGACTGTAACATAAGGGCCAGAAGGACAACATATTGTAATAAAAACAATGTAAGGGTACAGACTACTGTTTCCTGCAGGGCTGGAGATGATACAAACAGCATCTTCCCTTTAGTGAAGTTACTAAAGGGATTGGAACCTCTAAGTAAATCGCCAAAGGGAGTATGTTGTTGGATATTACACTGGCAACAATTGAATGTAACCAATACTTAGGGGAAGTTCATAAGGACTGTTCAACTCCAGTTGCCACAAGAACTGGGCTGCAGGTTTAGGACCACCCTTGTCATTGACAGTATATGACAGACTAACTATACTTCTTGGTCCAGGCTCTCTGTGGTATTGGACCCTACAAGTACTGTGTCTGTCCTAGGCTTTTGGGGAATGCAGGTGAAATAGCTGAATTCCTAAAATGACATTTCCCCATCTGACAGCTCTTTCTAGTCTTTGAGAAAATAAGACAGGAAAAGTGAAAGTCCATTTACCTGATCTGAATCATTGACTGTGATCTTCAATCCCCTTAAGATTTCACCCTCTGGGGGATGCTCATACATGGTCAGTTCAAATCTGTTCTGGGGACCATTTTCTCCGTAGAACGTTGGTGGGTGGTTGTTGAGGTCGACCACACGTATAGTCACCATGGCAAAAGTGTGCTCGGAGGTGTCACCTTCCTGGCTGACTTCTGATGCCTGCAGCAGGCAGGAGAAAGAAAGGAATTATGAGGGTATTTTCTCTTTCCTCAGATTCACGTTCAGGCATTTTTCCGCATGTACAAATCACCTTAACACACTAGCTTGTACAAAGATTCACAGATTTATTTTTCTCTAAAACCTCAGTCCATTTCACACTAAAGTTTATGATGATTAGAAGATTATGGTAATAAACCAGTCCCAACAAAGCCCCAGTGAAAAAAAATCTCCTCCTAGTTTAGTGAGCTTAGTAACTCACCCTAGGTGAAAACAGTTCTCTTAAAACAAATAATCCAATAGAGGCAAGGTAATTGCTTGCCTAAAGTGTTGACAGAATAGAAAAGGAAGACAATGTTTAAATTTACTGTAGTACCACAAGTAGTTCATTGTCATGTTGCTGCAAGGACTGCAGTCTTGAATACTTTGAGAAAAACTGTACTTGGGCTATTTAGGTAAATATTTGAAAAAAGAAAAAATACATACTTTTTTTAGACTTACAATTCTAGATGAGCTTAATTTAAACTGGATATAGTTTAGACAGACAGGCAAACCTAGCTGTTTTTCTGAACCAAAATATCAAACCTATCTGGGTTTCAACAACTCCAACATGCAGCCCGATTCACTGGATTGAACCTAAGACATTTCTTCTGCCAGGACAGAAACTCTGGCTGATGTTTTTAAGCAATGGCTATCTCTAACAGGCCTTTTTACTGGGTAATACAACACCCTTTTTGTTCCTCAGGTAGATTTTGTAGCCTGCAAAAGCTCTGGGTCACCACATAGATAATTAGGAGATCAGAAAAGCTTGCAAGGGCTTAACTCATCCTGCCTCTGAGAAGCACTAGCAGACTGCAGTGAAGCAGTGTGAATAGAGGAAGAAATGGTGCCCCAGTTTAACTGAGACCCTGAGAAGTCTGTGATCTCCCAGGTACAACATGCTGCTTGAGCCCACTAGCAAGCAAGGGCCCCTGGGGATGCTACAGTGGTTCTGGCAATGTGCAAAGCCTCAAAGCTACCTTCAGACAATATTGTTCTTACCATGACAATAATATGCATTTGCTGAAGAAAACTGATTACAATTTAACTCTAAACATTACTCTACTCTCTACACTCTAGTCTTCACAATTTAACTCTACACTTTTAAATACTTTGTCTTTAGAAATTGCTTAAAATAACGCAGCCTGTCACAGGGATACCAGCTCATCAAGGTGTTAGCTCACTGAGGTGTCAACATGTACATGGCTGATCAGTGCCTCAGGAATGGATGCTGATATGATATTGAATGATCTGTCCCAGTTCTATTAATAATCACAGATTTGACTGTTACCTATCTTATCATACAGAGGTTACAAGACATTAATTCCCAGTTTAGCAATAAAATCTGGAAACACAGAGAACAGGTATCCACAGATGGTAAAGGACGTTAATTTTCTAGACTCAGAGATGAAATTAGGACAAGATGACTTCATTTGAAAGAAGTAATTTGAGATACTAAATAGGCCAAGGAACAAAAGTAATTTGTTCTGTTTTATACTACTTGGCATTCTGTTCAAATACAGGAGGTAGTTTCTAAAACAGGAAAAGTCAGCTGCCTGAAAGTGGTCACAGAACATACCTGAACTTTTAGTTCATACACTTCTTTCTTGAGCTGATTTGGGCTTTTTATCACAGAAATGGCTCCAGTTGTGTTGCTGATTTCAAATGAACCTTCACTTCCTGCAATAAAACCATGATGCTCTAGTTACATGCCACACTCTTTCTCTGAAACAAGCATGAGCAATCAACTGTACACTTCATTAAGCATATCTTTGCCACTTTTGAAAAATGAAGCATTTCTATGACTGGTCACAGTGAGATGAAAACACAGATGAGGGCCAAAAAGAGTTTCCTCTCCTAGGAATGGCTCAGTGGAGTTCTGCCCCTACGGGTAGCTGTCATCACTTTTCTCTCCCCACCCTGGTAAGGTTCCCTTCAAGCCTCAGCAAACAGGCATGCAAATTTATTTATTTATTTATTTCTATTATGCTGTCTTTTTTTATATGCTGGTTTAGACAAAAATAGACATTTGTCATTGTAATTAGCAAATGCATAATTAAGTCTCTGAGAAACAAGAACATTTCTCTCACTAATATCAGCTAAGGTGAGAAGTCTGACAATCTGTTACTCTTTCTGCAGACAGCATCTCTGGAGAAGCATCTTCTGGTCTTAAACATTTAGTTGTTAAAAAAAACTCTCAGCCTGTTGCAAGGCTGTCCTGAACAAAAAGGGGTTTTTGGAGTATCTGGGTAAACCCCAAGGTTTCTGCATTGAGGCAGAGTCTGACAGGGAGGATAGGGCTGCAGGCTGACTTTGCTACCACCACCCAGCTTGCATCGATCTGAAGAGCAGATCAGTCACAGGCTGCAGTCCCTAGAGACTTCATAAATTTGTGCTGAAGCAAATGCCAGCTTGTATTTGAGAGGCGGCAGTGTCTCATCATGATATCAGGACCCATCCTGCCATCACAGCCAAAAGCAGGCTGGTGCCCAGGAAGGGGACTGGCTGGCAGCTCAGGGGGCCCTGTCCTGCTTTGCCGAGGGGCTGTGGCCATCCCTGCACGCTGCCTCACATACAGTACTGACCACAACCAAGTGTTGAGGCAGAGTCTACCATCGAAAGGAAAAGGGAGGAAATCCCTTCAAATGAAGGAGATCAAGACTTCAAAAATAAAGGATGATGACCTGAAGGTTCAGTCATTTTTCTTTTTCTCAGTCTTAATTCCAATGCTGATTTTTAGACCATCCAATAGTATCCTGTTTTTGCTAATACCTGCAATAACTGTAACTTCATTAAAGCTCACTAGATACAACATTGAACAGATATCGACTCATACAGTGGCCAATTATTAAGATACATTGGACTGGAAAGCGTATTCTGACTGAGAAGAAGCTTAAGTCAATAGTGGTTTCAAGCCACCATACTTCATGTTATTGTCTAGGTATCTCAGGGAAATTGGTAACTCAGAGTATGTAGCGCTACATGTGTTCCTTTGTACAGCATGTTCAGAGGAAAGGAGCATTTTCCATTATTATCCCACACTCCCTGGACATGAAATGCTTATTAAGAACAAATAATTTCCTGTTTGCTGTTAGTATTTTCTTGCCCTTTGACAACCCAGCCTGCAGATATTGGAAAAATGGCTTGTAACAAATAATGCCAGTGTCTGAGGTGCAGGGCTAGAAACCTGTTGAGATCTTTTGTTCTCTTCTTCTTCAACTTTCTGTGCACTAAAGACATATTCCCTTTCCCTCTTTTCCATTTTGCACAAAAAAAATCCTTCATTAATGTGCATAAGGAAAGCCAGTTCCCTATTGTCGTATTTTCTGCTACTTATCTGTTATCCCCTTCCATCTTCGTTTTCCACTCTTTCTTGAATACTTACTTTTTTTTTTTATCCCAGAGAACCCTTTTGGTCCTTTTCTGTTTTCTTTGGAAATCTAATATCTCTCCACATTAAACTTATTTTCCTTTGACTTTTTCCCATTTTTTACACCTTCATTTATTCTCCTTAATTAATTTCCCCCTTATTTATCATATTTTCATCCTATTTGTTTGTTTTTACTGCTCATTCTACACCTTTCTTTTCACCTTTTCTCATTTTCCATCTATTGTCTTCTGCAATCTACAACCTTTTCTTTCTAAGTGTTTTCTACCTTCCTTTTACCTATCTATTCCCTTGCATTAAAGAGAAACCTCAGTATGGGTCCCATCTCACAGCCCTCTCTGTTCTCTCTAGACCTGGCTGTTTAGGTCATGTAACAAACACAATGAAGCACTTACTCCACAGCTCTGCAACTACACCTCAGATTTGTCTTATGAAGTTCTGGGATCCCTCACACTTGGGAACTGGGGTGCCTAGTTGCTAATGGAAGTCTTGTTTTGGAGGAAGAGGGAAAAAACAAAACTGAAGTTGTAGCCTGGAGTTTAGTTGAGCTAAGTTGTTGACTTCACCAGCTAATGAATCATCAATTCAGCTAAGTTTCACATTTATGCTATTAAAAGACGTGGCAGACACTTTCAGAATAGCTGATGGAAAGCATTAATCTTCTGATAACACTGCTTTCTTCCACTGCAGTGTACGCCAGTGTCGCTTCACCAGCAATATAATTTCTTCCAAGAAATCAGAGGTTTCACTGTTTAGCCACTTTAATCACAGTATTAATAAAAATGTGCCTCTAAATTCCATGTCTGGGTCTCCCAGTAAGGTCTCTCTCTTCCCAGATTAAATGATAGAGATGCTCAGTAGCAGTGAATGCATTTCCCTTTATGCTTTCTGAAATGACAAGCAGGCTACTGATGCCTAACAAATCAGCAACATTAACAGCTCCAAGCACAGTTCTGTGAAGCAGATATTAAAAGTCACTGAATTGGATCTTAGCTATTCTCTGGTAGTCAGGGCCGTGGAGTTGTTTGAGGTACCTGACATTATTTCATGAAACTTTGTCTCAGTTTTATTAAGCTCTAGCATATCCTATTCTAATTTAATGTCAGATCTAGTTTTGAGTGCCCTTCAAATTTCATACATGACAAGTCTACTCACCGTTCACGATGCAGTAATGAATACTGTTAGGCTTTCCTCTGTCTCCATCAAGAGCAACAACAGTAAGGACCTCAGAGCCCTGGGGAGAAATGGGAGATGAGAGTCTGTGTGCCAAGAACAGAACAGTGAAATTGCAATTGCATGTTAATAAACTGAATTTCTGTAAGTCTTTCTGCAGTGAGATGCTGGGGGTAGAGTGGGTGCTTGTGTTGTATGGGGAGCACAAAAAGGGCCATTGACTCCCACCCAAGTGCTTGGCTTTGCAGAATGCTGTTTCTTGGACTAACTCTGCCTTGTTCCTACATCAACAGTTTAAATTGTTTCCAGTGACTACTCCAGCTGTGAAACAGCTGCAGATCCCATGTGGCCACAGGGCTGGCTGGTCGCAGGACCAGTCGGAAGCCACAGCCAGGGACACCTGACTTGAGCCACAGACTTGGACAGGGGACTTGGAGTAACCCATCTGAAACCCAAGGTTTAGTTTGGGTCACTACCAAGAGTCACTCTGGTCCCTACTTTGTAGGCTCCTGCATGACTGTGTGCCCCGTGGCCACATGGTCTGCTGAGACACAGCAGCTGCCAAGGAGTCATCAGGTCACTTTGGTTCTACTTAATTAAGTTCAGACAGCAAAAGTAAACAGAGATCACAAAGCAACTTGGCCCACAGAACATTTAGGGCATAAAATTGTGATGAAAATGATGGTGATTTAACTGCCCTTAAACCTTCATTGCCATTCTCTCTGCACAAATAATGTGGCCATGGGCCATACATACAGAACTTGTGTACTGGGGACTGTTTGCTCATATGACTATTCCTATCAGCTCAGAGTGATGATGACTGTTACACTAAAATGCTCACCCAACTGGCAATGAGCTGTGCAATTCAGGCCTGTGAACTAAAGTGTTACTGTTTGGGGCTGCAAAAACAGGGGACATTGAAGTAACTGTCAGTTAATCACAAATGGCAACAAGGAACATTTTCATGATAACCCTTGAGTGAATTTTTCAAACGAGAGCAAGGTTTTGTTAGACCAACTGGAAATACAGAACTGTATTTATTATCATTTATGCTGGAAGCAGCAATAAAATCTGCCTACTGGGCAAAATACAGTGCAATTCCTTTGAAGGTGACAGAGTACTTGTAAATCCTAACAACTCCACCAAGGAGAAAAGAAGCAAGTTTACAGAATTAACACCAAATGTGCAAACACCACTAAAATCAGCTATTGCCTTTCTCTCTGTGGAGTTCATTCTAATAGCAAAACCCACACTGGGAAGGACCGATTCGTGCTCCCATCATTATATCATAATGGTGTAAGTTATGAGCTCAAGCTGGATGTAATTAACATTTATTGACTCCCATTTCCACAGTAAACACTAACTCCTGTGTGCACCTGATAGTTATTTCAAGATCTATATGTAACTATGCAGAATAAATCGATATACATAATATCATTGATTCTAAACACCTGCAAAGTACACAAGCATTACTTCTCTGCCCTGCTGAAATGTAACAGCCTCTGCAGTGAACTGCAGTATACATTGGAGCCAAGGACAGAAAGTAAAGACATGATCGTTCCTGAAACTCAAGGGAAGATCAGCTGAACAGTGTGCAATCACATTGTTAAACAGATCAATAGCCTAATGTTGGGTAATTTCATGGGTAGATACTGTTTCTTGTCCTATGTATGAGGAAAATTTTAATTAAATCTTATGTATCAGGGCAAAAGCTGATCCATACACAGCATCATATCACTGCTTAGATACAGAGAAAACTCATTAGTTTGCAGCTCCAAGCGTAACATGTGGCTTAAAGTCCCCTGTTGTAACTGGTTCTCCTAAGTATATCCTTGCTTGCTTGATAATCTGGTGGGTTTTAGGCTTGGGAGGACTTCCTGACCCGTTCTGCCTAGCCAACCATCACCGATCAGAAAGCATCCTGCATTTTGGAGGTGTCAGGGTTGCTTCTCCCCAGGTGATGCCCATGGGACAACACAGAGAGTCTGGGGTATTTGGTCATAAATTCTCCCCACATCTTACACAACCAATTGTTGGTACCAGAGTGATCGCAGACAGAAAATATGAGCACTGTGAGACCACACAACACACAAAGGCTTCTAGCATGATGTGTTCAGGTGAGGTAACTGGCAACTTGCTTAAGCCTTCAGCCAAGTGCCTCTGGAGGTCTGAGCTATGGAAGAGCTCTTAGTCATTGTCTGTGCTTAGACCAACATAAATGGGCAGAATCCTTTCTGACATTAATGAGAACAGAGGGAAGCCTTGCATGGCAAATTCACAATAGATGTAAATAAGAACAAGTCTGAGATTTGGTCAGCTCATTTCACCCAGGAGTCAAATCAGAGTTAAGGTCCCATTTCCAATAAAACCTGTGCTAGAAACCATAGGGCCATCCTGACTGAGATGGGAAAGGTTACACTTGTTCTCCCACAGACGAAAACCAGCACTTACTGCGAGCGTATCCTCATAGACATATCCATAGTAGGGAGTCCCGATGAACATGGGAGGAGTGTCCTGAACATCCTCCACATTGATAGTAACTGTTGTTGTGGCTGAAAACACTTTGTTGTCTCCCCTGAGCTTCCCACCACCATCCTAGAAGAGAAGTCATCATCAGGTGCCTGCAAATGTCTGCAAATCAGCTTATGGCATTGCATGGACCTCACGACCCTTCAGAAGCAGAGTTCCAGGAATCTTTCTCTCAACACATCAATTAATCTGTGCTGCCCTATTCCCTTCTCTTTCCTCTTTGTCCTGCTCCTTCTCTGATTAGGGAGACAGCTTGCAGTGTCTCATAAGTAATTTCTTATATTAAAAGTGGTTGGGCCAAAATATACAGTCATTCATGATATTTTATTAACAAAATAGGGGATAGGGAATTCAAATTTTTTGATGGGAAAAAAAGAATGCTAGAAACCGACACTAAAAGTTAGCAACTAAGGTCTACAGCTTTTCATCCCATATATTGTCTTGTCATAAGCACAGAACAATGCACAGTAGCAAGGTAGTGCATTTCTAGAGGGAAATAAACCGTGCACATGCTCAAAGTCTCTTAGGGATTCTTATGTGATAAAGTGAAAGAACAGAGGAGCTGTGCAGGCAAGAACTGTGAGACAGCCACGGTGTATAAACAGTCTGTGGGGACTTGGCTACAGTCAACTCTGCATGACTGATACAGCAGAGCCAATTAGGAAGATGACTCACAATTTCAGAAGCTTGTAACACCCTCAGTCTCAGAGCACCAGCCGGAGGTCAGTGGTCATGCTGGTGTGTGAGAGTGAGAATTGTTCAACATGTCTACTGTACCAATTCTAAAAATTCCATTTTTTGGAAAAGAGACGCTCTTTTTTTTCCTCCTTACTGCCCCAAAGGCAGCATTTAAGGCAAATTTTGTTACTTCTCCTCAAACAAACCCTGGCTAAATAAATACATAAAAAGGTTCATACATTTTTCATAAAATATGAGAAACTTGTAAGTAACAGCAAAATTGTCCTCTTTGAACCCATGTGAGTCTGTCTGTGTGACAGGTCCCCACAGGATCCTGAAAGACTTTACTTCAGAATCTATAAACTTTTAATGCCTTTTATGAATCCTCTGTCACAGGCACAGCACTGCTGGGAATGACAGTGGCAAGGGGGGATGTGCAGCAATATTTGCAGGATTTGAATAAGTTGCTGCCATGAGGTAAAAGAGAAGCGAAAGAAAGAAACACCCACAGATATTTCCAGAAAAGAAGTCCACAATTTGTGCTGTGCTGGGTCCAGCTGTGCACGGTGTCTTACTGTGGGTAATGACTGTGACCTGCACTGTCTGCCTGCTGGGAGTTTGTCCTTGTGATGGTAGGGTTGTGCCCTGGCAGCATGAGGGAGCCCTGAGCGTTTGCCTGCACTCAAAGTCTGCTGCTTCTTAAAGCCAGGGCTGCTCACACCAACCCCTCACTTCTAGGTGACTCTCCAAACACAGATGACATGAATGATATATGGGAAACCCAATCCCAAATCCTCCAGACATTGTTCAACAGCAGACACCGGTTACCTTTCCTCCCTCACTTTTCCATGTTACCCCCCACACCTCCAGGCGTTACAGAGGGAGTAACTGCTGCCTGCACGTACAACACTAGTGTTTGAACTAATCAGTCCTACTCAAACACAACACCCCACCCTCCTCTAGTTTCAGATAAGAGCCTTATACCTTGGCTACGACGACAACAAAATGCGTTCTTGATTTCTCATAGTCCAGGGTGACCCCTGTTTTGATGCGCAGCACTCCACTGTGACGGTCTATAGTGAACTTGTTAGCGTGGATGTTCTAGAAGAAAAGGAAAGAAGAAACAGCAAGAGATTACAGGTATGGAAATAAGATTGCCATAGGGATTCATCTTTTATTTCATCTGCTAAGGGAGAAGACTAGAATAATGATACGGTTTGGGTGAATAATGTATTTGATGAATTTCACCTCTGTGTGTTTATGAACAATTCATGAACCGACCACGAGCCTCTCATTATTCAGAATAAATCAGTTACTTCAAATGTAGATATTTTTAATCTTTTAGTGTTTCACTGTGAAATTTTAAACTTTGGTTAACAGCGTTCATTGCATGGAGAGAGGTAAGGAGGCTGAACAGAAAAAAAGATGAGGGGAAAAGGAAGAAGAACAAAAGGTGTTACCCCTCAGTGTTTCAAAGTTCTACAATATTAAAAAATAAGCAGAAAGGTTGCATGTATAGATTATTGTCAATATAGTGGTGGTTTGGTGTTTTTTCACAATACACAAGCAAAGTCTAAAAGACATCTGATGTTCAAAGAGGCCTAAAAAATACCTCCCTCCTTTCTTCTGAACTGGAGGTATCCATACAAACACCTCTGTTCTGGTATCCATGCACAGTGGCCACCGTCAGATAATCTTGGCCATATCAGTAGACACCACCCACCCACACCAAACTTGAGGAGAGGTTTTTTCTGTGCAACTTGAGAATTCTCAGAGACTGTGCCAAAAGACATTTTTTTCAACAAATACACATATTTAGTATCCTTTTCACCACACAAATATGTAAACTAGACATGGAAGTTTGAAATTGCTGTTCCTTGGTTTGTAGTCTATCAGCCCACTTGAAAAAGCTCTATGTGAAACTGAATCCTGCACAGACTGTATTTTAAATGGATCATATTTGTGAAATCAAAGCTAAATTTCAATAAGGTACTTAAGGTGTTCTTTCACAGTATACCCAAGCTCTTAATAGGATTAGCTTTAGTGCTATGTAAATATCTTCTAACTTGCTTCTGTATTTGTGTCCAAATTAAATATTAAAACAAATTTACTTTTGGTTTGTTGTTGGTTTTCTTTTTTTTTTTTTTTTTTTTTTGTTGCCTCTTGAATAAGGGGAACTGCAGCTAATTTGATTGAAGCTTGTAGGAAGAAGGAATATTAAGGATATAATGCAAAAAGTTGCCCTTTTGGAATTCAGATCTGTAATACAAAAATTCAGCTTTAAATACAGAGCCCTTTCAATTCTTCAGCAGTGGGCAATAACTTAAAGCTGGTGTCAAGCAGTCCCAGCTTTGTCAGTGAGAACACTTAGTACCTCATATTTCACACTGGGATCCAGGTATCAATTATGCACCAGACTGCTACACTAAAGGGCATATTTGGGTTTCCAGTGCGTTTTGCTTTCTAAAGAAAGCCATTTCATGCTTTACAAATCCCATAAGCATACAAAATTACTAGCTGATCTTGCTCTCCTTGTTGCTCCAAAGGAAGGGCCCTGCCATGAGAAGTCCTGCTGGCAAGCACAGGAGTATCAGTGACAAATCCAATTCCCCCTCCTGCCAGCTGGACTGCCCTTGGCCGCTTGCAGTCAAACCACATACGTTTTGTCAATGCTTGTTTTCTTATGCACAGTACAAAATTGGTCCAATAGGCACTAGGACAGGCCCCACCCTCAAAATCCATTTTTAATCTGCTTTCTGAGATCTCAGTAAATAAGATTTTTGAAGGTACAGACAATACCTTACCTGCAAGAAGTAGGTGATACTTCCTCCAGAACCCGTGTCTTTGTCTATTGCCTCAATCTTAAAGATACTGCTGCTGGAGGGAGTGTTCTGTGACCAGAAAGAGTTACCAGTGACACAGAAGTAGAAAACCAGGTGAGTTAGAAGAAGTGAAAAATGAGCATGCAAGGAGGCAGAAAAAGAGAGTGATGGTAGAAAGAATGTAAGAGCACTGAGGGAAACAAAGAGCAGAAAGGAAAGAGGGAAGAGGTGGAGAAGTAGAAGGAAGAAATACTTTGTAGAATAAAAATAACAGAAAATCTTATCTAAGACAGAGTGTATCCTATTCCCATTGTAGTCCACTCTAAAGTTTCTCAGTGACTCATATCTTGGACCTTACTCCAAAACCAGCACACCTTAAGTACCTACAGACTTATTCCCTAAGTTTGAAGTGAATATTAAATATCTACCCCAACCCTAAACCAAAAGAATGCAAGTTAGTCCTGCACATCTTGTTGTTTTGCTGAAAACATACTAGCCCCTCTTTACATCCTATAGAAATACACTTCCATTATGCAAAGGAACTTCACCAACCTCTGGGACTCCGACTATGTAAGGTGTATTGATGAACTCTGGGCTCTCATCATTAGCATCCATTACAAGGATCCTGACTTTTTCAGAAACCTGGAGTAGAATATAAAGAACACATTTATGACTCAAGCTGTTTTTCAACATGTACCCATTTATTTGCCTGCTAAGCTGTAGTCAAAGGCAATGACAAACTGTGTTGCAATAGAACATCTGTGCACTACCAAGACTGAGCACATATAAAAGAATACAGAAAATCCTCTAATCCAGAAGAATTTCCTTTGTGGAGAACACTCAGATACCTCAAAACTAAAGAATAAGCCTCAGAGTATTTTATAAATTACAGATTGGGTCTGATTTTCAAGGATTTTTTAATTTCTTTATGGCATTCAAGATACCATGACACATTTTATGGTATATATAAAAGTTGGTACTTGAAAGCCATGAGTATTCATTTATGCCTTGTTTGGTATCATGATATTAGGTTAATAGCATGCATAATCTGGATTTACAAATACATGCTACTAATATCTAACAATCCATTTTAAACAAAACCTGTGTTCTCCTGTAAAAAATTCAGAAGCAAATGTATTTGACCAACAAAGGCTCCTAGTTATTTGCAAGTAGACATGTGGATGCAATTCCATTATTTCCTATTTACAGAGGTTGCCAGGGTAGTTTTGCCTGTAAGATGCTGGCACCTCCCAAACATTTCTAGCAGTTATCTCAATTAATTTGTTTGATATGAGGAGGAGTTCTAGTGTTATCCAGTCTTGTGGATAGTAAGAAGGTCCTGCTTTTTTGGCACCTCTAGTAATGAAGCCCATGTCCTCCTATTGGCAGACTACTATACTGACTGTAACAGCATCAGTCCACAAATTGAAAATGCAAAAAAAATTCGTGGAAGTAGGAATGGATGCTTGTGCAACGCCTCAGATAAGTCCCTAATGATTAGACATGATCAAAGCTTTATCCAGCAGCAGACAAGAAAACTCCCACCACCTTAGCCTAAGCAAATCTTCTTAATGTCATGCTAGAGAAACACTGTGGAGGTGGAGGGACAGTCAGTTCTTGGGTCCCCAACACTAGTTCCTATAATATCATGCATTTCTCCAAAAAGCCTACGGATCTTTCTTAGGCATGAATCCTACTGCAGTGGCAGGGAGACCTCATAGGAAGCTGCTGCAATTCTGCAGTAATTCTGCAGGCCACTAAGTTCATCTTTCAGCTCACACCACATTGTAATTATCCTCAAATAGCTGAGCAAGGAGATGGAGTGACACTTGAGTTACTGTGAGTTCAGTTGCTCTTGGAACAGGAAGTAAAACTCTAATGACATTATGTTTTCTGATAAAATGAGGTAGTCCCTGCAAGGTAATTTAATAAGAGGAGGTATGTGGGGACAGAGAGTTTGACAAGCTACAGCATAAATACTTACTGTACTCAGGCCATCTGAAATACTGACAATAACTTCAATCTCATCTTCCTTCTGTAAATCAAGAAAGTTCCTTTGTTAGAGAGATGGTGTTTGCCCTGATTGTAAAAGGGACTGCAGATTTAAATGTGTCTAGGCAAGTAGATGATAGTAGCAACTAATCCCACAAAGCAATCACAGCACAGGCTAGGAAGACCCCTCAGAAACTCCACCTCTGGGCTCCTTGGACCTTCTGTGGCTACTGTCCCAGAATGTGACCTGTTGTCACACAACAGATCTGGGAATCCCTGTTGTTCTGTAAAGTGCTAATGAAAATCTTTCATCTTTTCCAAGAAACATTCCCTTAAAAAGGTATGGTTGGTTCAAATTTTTTCTGTCTCAGCATGCAGTATTTTGAAGGGTTTACCAAGTACTGTGTACCTTTCTCTGTGAAGGAGATGTGAAGGATTCAATGCCTGTGTTCCCAGAATAAGGTTGCCTTTAGGCCACTATTGCTGGGAACATCTTTAACCCACATGGTTACATAGATTAAAGGGCTGTGATGAACTAGAGAAGTGTCCTGGAACACTGCTTACACAAATCTCTACTTACTCCAAATGACAGGAAAGTCCCCTGTCTGAGGATTTGAGGACTGTAACTGCCCCTAAGCTCTTGAGGGGGTGTGGGTGGGAGAAGAGAGAAATAAAGAATAAACTTCTCTTTTGACAAAAGCTGGACAGATAGCAGCTGAAAAATTTGATAGCAGTGTTAGTGGTACAAGTCAACTGGAAAACTACGTGATGAGTGAAGTATCATGTCTTAGAATTGCAAAGTGTATTACATGATTCAGATGAAATAAGCTGGCATTGTCCCTCAAAGCCACAGATCAAATTAAACTGAGGAAAGCTCTACAAAAACCTAGAGTGGTGCCATTTGACTGTACCTCTCTGTCAAGCTCCTCGATCAGTGTAACATTTCCAAGGTTCTTGTCAACAGAAAAGTAGCGTCTTGATCCAGCTTCATAGGTCAGGTCATATGTCACAGGATCCCCTTCTGGATCAGTTCCATTCAGAGTGTACACATGGGTACCTGAAAAATTGACATTCAACAGCATTTCCCTGTGGTTGCTTCAATCAGTGAATATTTCACTAGTCTGTTCCTTAGGAATTTTTCTACCCCATGACAGGCAAAGGTTTTGCGAATCAAACCCACCTTCTGGGAAGTATGGATAAGCAGACAGTTCAATAGTCCTGATGACCACCTTTTAGCCAACTGGTTAAATCAAATTTATGAGTGCTGGTTTCTGTCCCTTCAGGCCCTTTCCTGTGGAACTGAACCTACATCAATACTGCTCACATACAAGTGTTTACATAGGTGACAAGCTCTCGACTAACTCTTGGCCCAAGTGAGCCAAAGTGATGCTGTTGTACAACTGGGTGACAATCTCAGCAATACCAAAAGGTTGTCACAGATCTCTGCTCTGTGGGAACAAGAGAACTGCAAACTAGCAGGCAGAGAATCTGGCAAATGAAGGGAGTGCTCCTGCAGGACTGGACCCAAGCTCTAGAACTCAGGAGGCGCAAGGACATTTTTAGACTTTCCCACTTTCAGAACTAATAGATGTAAAACTCTTCTTTCCTACTTTACTCCCCCTCATTAGCTTTCTCTTATTAAATTCTCTACTTGATACACCCACTCATGCTCATACCAATGAAAAAGTTTTTCAACTCATCAATGTACTTCCTTCACAACCAGGGGGTAGAGATTGTTATTTCTATTTCTAAACATTTGAGAAGCTGGTGCCAGTTTTTCCAGTAAACTGACTTTGTGTATCATAAATGATACTTCCTGGGGGAGTTATAACACTAATGTTTTCAAAACATGGTAAGAGTGTTTATTAGTATTATTTTTTTTAAATTCCATGTCTGTCATCCTCCTGTGCATTAATACCTTCATTCAAATAACTTCAAGCACTTTAGAAATACCAGTTAACTAAACCTGAAATATAAACCACTGTTGTTGCTTCCTTCCAATCCACTGTGCCTTGGGTAAATTACCTGATATATTCAAGTGGTAGAGGTTAAGCACAGAAACTGTGCTTTACATCTAATGGAGTCCTCTGCACTGGAAATACTGTAGCCAAGTGACTCACTGGCTAGTAGTGGGTTTTGTTCATGCATGCAAATCAAATATAAGATGGAAAGATCCCTGCTAAGAAAATCAGCACAAAGCTAAGGAAGAACACTTTAAAGGGAACCCAGAAGACTTCAGTTTTAAACTGTTCTGGCCCTGAGTTTCAGAGATTTTTAATTCTATACTCAAAAATCACAATCTTTTTCTCGTCTCCTCTCTGCAGTGGCAGTGGGGTTTTCCCCTGACCTGATCCACAAGCTTCTGTTTAACTCTAGGGCTTTGGCTGATGTCGTGCCCATAGCACTCACAGGTCAGCTTCTCAAATGTTTCTTCAGTTTTGCAAGGCAACCTTTCAGATCTCATTTGCTTATTCCTTGGCATGCAAACTGTGAAGCTGCTTGGTGCTTAATGGACATGCAACATCCAGGAATGAGTGGTGATATTTAGAAAACATGGCTGTCTTCTTGGCATAGCAAGAGATTATGCCAAGCCATGTGGAATCTGTTCTCACTTATGAGCAAACTCTCTTATGATAATTACCAGGGCAATATTTGGGCAACTTAGTACAGAAAAGTGTTCACATTGCAAAAATCAGTGAACCTACAGGAGCACAAACAACAGATCCTGTTACGAGCTGGTTCAGCCGGCCAACAAATAGTCAAGACTTGGAAAAGAAGTTCACAAAACTACAAAACACTTTCTACATTTCTCTTTCACTTTTCCCACAAAACAGAGTAGAAAATAACAACACACTGTAAGTGTGATCTCTGAAAATTATTAGGGAAACACAATGAGCAGTATGATGAGGCTTCTCTGACTGCAACAGCTGAGCTGTGTAAGTACAAGGAAATGCAAAGAGAGGAATAAACTGGGGCTAATTTAAAATAGTGTCCTGAAAGGACACCTACCTCCTGATATTGCTGTCTACATACGAGACAGATATTTGAAGACTTCTGAAGGTTCTGCAACACCAGCATTGACTCATTTATTCTTGTTTTCCAAAAGCTTTGTCTTAATATCTCAGCTGGGGGCCAAAGGGAGAATTCAGGTGTCAACTGTCAGCATCTGAGTGACACTGTTATTAATACACTGCTTTTCTGCAGCCTTTTTTGGTCATTAGTTGTTTCTACTTCTTACTTGCTTTTCTGCCCTTCTTATCAGCTTTTCCTGTGCCTTTCATTCTACGTACCTCTGCCTATCCTGCCTGTTTCTAGCTCACACAATTGTCTTTGGTAGCTGTTGACCAGTGTTGTGCAGTGGAAAACCTCACATCTGAGGTCTCTTGGAGCCTGTGAGCAATGACCAGGCACAAAGTTTAGTGCTGTGGCTGCCCTGAAATACCCATGCTGGCAGTACACCAACTATAGACCATTCCTCAGGGATTGCAGGGCTGGAGAAAAACAGACTCTGAAAGTTTATGTGAACACATTTGAACCAGGGCTTGTTCTTCCAATATCACAGTTTTCTTTCCTACATTTTCTATGAATTGTCTTATAAGCAAGACAGGATTTTTCTTGCTGTTAAATGTGAGAAAAAACATTAATATTGATACAGACTGAGATTACTGAGGTTTTTGAGCAAGTAATGATGGACATCATTGATCTTTAAACTGGACCATTTGCTTTTTAGCTAAAGCTGATACTTCATTTTTCATAGTACAGAACACTTCTGTGCCTTTTCATTGTAGATCAAAATTTATTTCTAACTCATTATAATTCCTTATTTTTTCCAATTTGTAATTTCACTGCACAGTACTCTCCATATCATTAACACCCCCGGGAACACTTCTCAGCACAGTGTTAATGTCAATTAAAAATCTCTTCTCAGTGTGCTGCCTCTACTTGCTGAAAAGGAAATAAATGAAAAAGACAGATAAAATCTAATCAGTGAATACCATGTAAACAGCCTCTCCCTGTCAGAAACATATGGGAACAGAAAAGTCTTTATTGGGGATATGGCAAATGCCATGTAAGGGCCCCAGCTGGAAGAGCAGGATGGTCTGAGTACCTAGGGGATGGTGCAGCAGGCTGAGAGAGGGGAGTCCCAGGGAGCTACTCACTGCTTCCTGCTATGGCTGCTTCCCAGGAGCAATGCCAGGCTTTCACTCTGTTTTCCTATTCCATCCTAAAAAGTCATTTGCTCTCTGCTCCTGCCACTCGGGCTAAATGGCTGTCCCATGATGCCATTGCTCTATTTTACTTCAATTCTGACTCAAATTTAATCACAGCCAGCCTCTGCCCACAAGCTCTGGGGCTGGTTTTACCCTCTCACTGAACACACACTCTCCCTTTCTTGCTGTGCAACACTCAGCAATCAAATCCCCCTCATCAGTTAAACAAGCCAAGCACATTTTGGACTCATGCTTAGTCCTGCCATTGCCCTTGCCACCACAGCTGACATCTGTTAACAAGATGCTGAGAGGGATATCCATGGCCACGTTCCCAGGACAGGATACCTCTGTTCCCAGTGTCACAGCAAATACCATCTTGCCTGGGGTTACATGCCTGCTCTCCACCTGTCCTAGCCAAGGGTCATTTCCCCATCAGGAAAGGAAGTGGACAGTTAACACAAAGCCTACAGACGGCTATTTTACACTCCAAGTTCACCCCAAGCAAAGAGGAGCACAGGTTCCTGGAGGACATGGACTACACACCATGGGTACCTCAAAAATGTCTCCTTTCTCATTCACTGCCAGCTACCACTCCTTCCAGAGCATACCCAGGCAACTCCTGCTCCCTCCCTGCACCCTGGTGCACCAGCTGGCTGGCAAAGCGGCGACATGGCCAGGATCAGCAGCTCAAAAGCCACAGCTGCTATAGCAGCAGTTGAAACAGGCCTTGCAGCTGCAAATGCCTGCCGTAGGGAGAGGGGATATTGCAGCAAACGCTCAGCATGGGGCCTGAAACTTCACCCTACAGACAACAACGTGTCCCTGCAGCACCCACAGCAACCAACTCCAAGGAGAAGTCATTTGAGGGCAATTTTCTGATGTATCTGCAGTTTCTCTCACAAGACTTAAAACAACATTGGAGGCTGTAACACCTGCAAGTCCTCATCACATCTCTGTGCAGTGTTCAGCTTTGTGAGGGGCTTTGCTCTGTGCACTGCTTGCTTTGCCGCACTGGCGCAGAAGGCAGGCTGTGCCTAACACTTCTGTTCTGGTAGCCTCCCAGCTTTCCTAGGAGTGGATCAGGGGGATAAAAACAAGGAAGGAATGGCAGATACCCGAGGGGACAAGGGGACTTCTACACAGAGAGCTGTGACTGATGTGAAGAAATGAGATCAGGAGCATGTAGGAACAGGGTAAGTTTGAAGGATGGACGGAACTGAGGGGGTCAGTCAGCCAGTGATAGGTGGCTGGCAGCTGTAGCTTTGATCAAAGAACTGCCACTGCACACTGGCTTTTAATAGGGGGAGGCAGTGCTCACTTTGGGGGCAAGGGTAAAAACAGAAAGGAAAATTCAAGGATAAGAGGCATGCAGAAATCTCCAGAGCACTGATGATGGTTGGGCTTTGAGAGAGTAATGAACTTAGGCCTTCTGAGCATGCTTCAATCCCCTGCCCTGCAGCTGTTCCCAGCCCCACTCTGTCCCCACAATGAGGTCTTACAGGGATTAAGAGGTAAGATGAAACAAACAACCTGAAATAGCATCCCACTCATGGCTTAAGACTTTGATTAGGAGCACACACATTTTGCATGTACACAGGCAACTCTCCACAAAGAGCTAATTACCCACCTGCCCTGCCAAACAGCCACAAACTACAACTGCTATTGCAGTTCATAACTTTTCCAATTCTTCTTAAGCCTGGCACTGGAGGGGGCTGCTGTCCTGGCTCTTCTTACCTTAAGGGGTCTCATGCTCTGCAGCAATAAATAGCACCTGGAAATCTGCAGATACTTTCAAGCATTCACACAGAAATAGTATTTGCTGGTTTTATGATAACATGGTACAATGTATGCAACTTGGTAGACAAGTATCAACTATCTGTAAATAAGCAAAATTGGACAAGGGAAAAGAAGGTCAAGTTAGGGATGATATGAGCATGGGAATGAATTTGATGTGTCCATGCAGCTGCAGCACTGCAATTTCTTTTTCTACAGTCACACAGAGAATCCATTGTCTCCTTTCAGTGTTCCAAAATGTTGCATGTCCCTTGCCTGCACATGCCTGGGAATATAAGTAACACGTACCACTTTGTAAACTGCTTGCAATCTCAGCAGGGCCAAAGACTGTAAAATTTCTGGAGGTTCATTAAAGCTGCTGTCCATGGCATTGCTCAGATCAGACACCAGCTGCTGCCAAGAAAAGCATCCTGCCCATAACTCCAATTTTTATGTAAGGACAGAGAAGACCTAATAGCAGCCTGCCCATTTTTGCAGAACATAAGCCCGAGTGAAGCCATCCAGAATCAAACATATGGAAGTTTTAATTCCCCTGTTTTGTCACTGATCATCCTGCTCAAAATGAAAAGATGACTCCTGGAGTGTGGATGCCTGGGACTACACATGGACATGGGAGCCCAGATTCCTTCTCCTGCTTCTGGAGGAGATTGGGGCAGAGTGCTGAAGAACAACAGCCTCCTCTTCAGTGCGATACCCTTCACTGGGGCCACAGAAAAGGGCCAGCCTGGTAGACATTTAGCAGGGGCAATGTGTGAGCCCTCCCTGAGCCCTGGCACAAAGCTGACTGTGGTCTCATGTGAACGCTGGACTGTTGCCCCGTACAAAGCTGAATGCACACCCAGCACTGCAGCACCGAAGTGTCAGTTCCATTTGTGCCCTCCTCTGGGAGCCTCTCTGCCAAAGCATTCCCGAGGAGTGGCTGTGCTGGCACGGGCAGCAGGTACCAGCAGCAGTTTACATTAAGCAAACCCCAAGCAACCACACTCTCATGGAATATCCAAAAGTGCTTTCAAAAGAGAGGACTTTGCAGTACTCATAGCTGTTTGGCAAGGTGTTCTGGGAATTAGCCCAAAGAAGCACTGGCAGCTGCGTGGCAAAGCAACCACACTTGAACTTCTCAAAAGTAAGGCCTTATCTCCCTTTTCCAAGGGTTTCTACAGGCCCTTTGGAGCTTTCAGCAAGAAGCTGCTTCTCTCTTGTTTTTTAAAGCACACTTATACATCAAATTAGAAGTACAAGCCAGCCAATTTAAACAGATGTAAACACATTCTGGATGAAGCCAGCAGGCATGATGCACAGCAGGACTGAAGACAGAGCAGCTTGAGCTTTATCACTGCTGCAACCAAAGCACAAACTCTTCAGGGATGTCTGTACACCCAGTCTAGTTGCTAACGTTACAAAAGCACATGCAGAAGCCCATCAGGTATTCCTCATTATTCTTACTCTGGCTAGTTACAGGAGCACTAACACAGCTCTGATCTCTCACACTGCTGTTTTCTATTGAGGCATGCACCCTCTCCTTTTTTGGCCGATGGAGCCCCAATCAGAAGCAGTGGGTGGAAATTAGTGCTGTACTTCGCTGCTGCAGGGAGTGCTGTCATCTGAGAGACCATGTGGCGCTGCAGTCCTGACAGGAAGGACATTTTGACTGTGTTGTGGCTCTGTGCCATCTTTAGCTCCCCATCCCCATGCAGGTGGCTGAAGGCTCCCAGTGGTGGCAGGGAGAGGCTGATGCTCTGTAAATGTCTGTGAGCTGGCACCACATCAGGGAGTGGGAGTTTGATGGCAAGCAAGTTGCACTGCCTGCGGTTTCAGCGGTGGAGTTGGCAAGCACCACCCCAAACAAACTGAGCTGGGGTCCCATTTTCTGGCTGTCTGGCATTACAAGCCTCAGCTATGCTTAGACAAGTGATTCCACTGGCTAATCTTACTCCAGAAATCAGCAGAACTGTAGGGATTGCCAAGACTGAGCAAGTGTAGTTTCCATGTGAATCCAGGCAGAAGTACAGCAAAAAATGCAGCTCCTTGGTCTGCCTTTGGCTCTTACAAGTGCCACTACATTACTCTTGGCCTTCAGCTGAGGTTTCCACTTGAGCCTGACTAAGCAATAGCAAATTCCTGCTGCATCATAAGCAAGCTCTTTTTAAGTTCATCAGCAAGATGTGTCACTTCTATGCTACATGCCGCCTTCTCTCCCTCGTCTTCTCAAGCTGAGCAGGTAAAGGAGAATTCCCAATCACCCTCTCCCCGTGCTGTAGAAGGCCCAGCACGGTTCTTGTCTGGCGTTAACACCACTGGGTCAGAAATGGAGACTTTGAGCAAACCCAGGCAGCTGCTTCCCAAAGCAGTGAGTGACCTTGGTTTTGTTTAGAAAGGTGTGGGTGGCAGTGTCAGGCTTCCACAGGAGGCTGTGCCCTCTGATCCCTCCTTCATCCTCACCTCTCCCAGCTGCCTAAGCCCTGGGAGCACTCACTACAGAGCCATCTCTCTCTATGCATGAGGCAGCTAGTGAAGGGGTCCTCTGGTACTCAATTTGCAATAAGTAAATATTTTTCTGATTTAGCCTGTAAAAGCTACAAACAAACAGTAAAAAATTCTAAACAAAACCTCAGTGCAAAGTTTGAAGAAAAGGTGGTGTTCACCACTGTAATATATTTTACCTGTAATTTTTTAAATGTTAGGAAATTATTCTTCTCCCATGCAAAATAGGGATTATAAATCATCTTTTGTTCTTATTTTTTCTTAATGCAACTACAGTTTAAAGAAGATAGACCTGCATCAAAATGCTGAAATCTGAAAGCTGTATCAATTTTTGAATTTTCTCTAAAACAAAACTAAACCTTTTTGAAAACCATCAGTTGTTTAGACAAAGCAATTTTCACTGCAAGTGGAAACATTTTCTACCATTTGTACTGTAAACATGAAAAATTTGATAACTCTTTAAAGAAAATCGTGGCTCTTACTTTTCAGTGTACAGATTCAATGTACAGAAGCATTTACAGGATTGGTAAGAAGCCTCTCACCACTGTGAATTTATTTCTTTCCACAAAGGTTCTGTGCTGTGAAGTTATGAATAGATTGGTGGACCAAAAAAGGGGAGCTAAAATTCATGTTTTAAATTGCAGCTACAATTCAAACATGTCATTTTAAATTGAGGCCAATTAGAATCTAGAGAGAAAACCACGTAGGATCACAGATTATAACAACAATCTACAACAAAATATATATGTTAATCATAAGAGCAAGCAACTCCAGTTTCACAGTTTAAACATACTAATTTTAATACTGACCAACAGGTATGTCCTCTGAAAGGCTGAGAAGTGCCATGTTCCCGTTCGTGCTTCTGGCTCCATTATCAAAGAAATAGGGGGCATAATTTGCCTGAACTGCAATTAAAACAAAACAGAAGCCAAAGAAAAGCATTTTATAGGTGGCAGTTATTTGGCTGACTCAGTTAATTACTTGACTCTCAGTAAACATGAGCTGTTTTGGGAATACTATGAGTGCATAACACACCCAGTTGCTGCAATGGACTCTCAGAACTGTATCTGTGTGGATATTTTTACTTCTACATGCCACTGTGCCAGTATTCACATAGCAGGAAATCGAGAGCGTATGTTAAAAAAAACCCCAAACAAACAGAAATAAAACAAGTAGCAAGATCTCTCTAAAAAGTCTCAACCACTTCCAGACAGCTTCACTGAAAAATGAACCTTTTCATCTTGTCATGACTGCACACCTCTCTCCTACTCTACACATACAAGTCTGAAACTCTCCGGTGCTTTGGTACCTTAGCCAGTATTCTTACCCAGTGTTCTAAGCACATTCTGTCTTAAAATTATGCCTACTATTGCATGAGCAATTAGCCATAATTAAACAGTTACTTACTTGCTGCCAGACAACAGCAAAGTTAAAAAAAAAAAACAAGAAACAACAAATTAGTTGTCATTCTACTGACTGACTGTTAGAGATTCAAAATAGCCCATTTGAAACAAAACTCCAAATACATAAACACAGAGGGTAACATTTGCACAGGGATCAGTTGCCAAGGAAAATATTTCAGGACAACGTTACCACATCAGTAAGGATTACTACGGGATTTAAGGTTATGTTTGTATTCTCCTATATTTTTACTTAACAAACTGATTATTGTACTCACCCAGGCAAACATGCACCAAACTGAGAAATAAGGAGGGGTTGAAATGCCTTACATGCTTCATCCCACTGAAAAAAGAGCCAATTTCTTCTCTGTTATAGGGGCTTGGGGTTTTTTTTCTCTCTGAAATGTCCAGGAAAGTGTCCTTCAGACTGATGTAGTGCAGAAATGTGCGAGCGGCAGTAACAGATGCTAAGATGTTAAGCGGATGACACGTCTTAATTTCTGAGGAATTTAAAGAAGCTCCTTCCTACCACCTAATTAGACCAATTACTTTGCAGGGAGCTGTGGGACTCATCTCCGAGACAAGATTTGGAGGAATCAGTGTAACTCTCATAGGTTCTGCTGTTAGTACTGTATTTGTGCTGACCAAACACAGAAGTCAGGGAGAAGGTAAAGTAGAAATTTGTTTTCTTTCTAAACTCTGTCTTTAATTGTCTAAGCCAGTCCTCTATTTTTGAGAGCTAAAAGAGGATTCTTTTTATTTTAGCTTTGGCAATCTTGAGAAACCACAAAAAAAGAAAATCTAATATTAGCAACAAACAGTAGACATGATTGTTACCATTTTAAAGAAAACAATTACATTTATGATAGCAAAAAACCTCCAAACACAACATTGCATAAATTGCAATTAAATGCAGAAATCAAAATGTTCTTCTCATGAGCTGGCCTGATTATTTAATTCTTAAACTGCACGAATTGCTGAAAGCACCTCTTAGTTTCAGCAGGCAATTTTTAACCAATATACTGAAAAGTGCGTTTAAACATAACACATCAGAAAAGTTAACAAAGTAGCTTTTTTTCATTGCTTGTTTTGGCATATAAAAGGTGTTTGCACTAACTTAAAATATATATCATCCAATATATTATAGGGCTAAAAATCAGCCAGCTTGGGAAGGTGTTCACAGATAAAGTTGCTTAAAAGGAGCTCCATTGTGGAAATACATAGCTTCTGAGCAAGTATATGTTTACATCATGGCTTAGCTGTTTAAACTTGACCTGCAGCAAAGCACTTGCCCTTTAAGGATGTGTTAATGGAGTTTTCTGGTTTTTTTAATTAACAGCCAGCGTGGTAGAAACGTCTAAGAAATTAATTAGCCACAAAGTTCCCCATTGCAATGCTTTAGAACGTGGCAGAAGCTGCACACCCTGCCTGGCAGTGGCCCTTGGCACTGGAGCGGTGGGAGCAGCCGCCGGTGCCCCGCAGCCTGTCCCCACACACCTTGGGAGATAACCCCACACACCTTGGGAGATAACCCCACACAGAGCATCCCCTCCCAGCCCCTGCCTGTGGGGTGCAGAGGGGAAGGTGGGCAGCACTGCAGGGAAAGCTTTCATCACACAGGGAGGGGAGGGACAGGCTGGGCAGTTCCCATACATGTGTCCTACAGAGGGAGCTGGCAGTCAGATCCTGTCACACATTCCCCCTTGACCTTTGCGGGGGGGAACAAATGGTGGAGGAGGGCATAGGAGAGGCCTTTGTGTAGTGCTGTGATGCTCCTGTGCTGCGGGCAGGGCATGTCTGCACCTGCAGATCCCCACGGATCTACAGTGCTGCCAGAAGGACACCTCTGCCCGCAGAACAAATCAGCTGTAAGGCTCCCGCAAGAGGAAAAGTAAAACGCTTGAGCCAATATTAACAAAACTTGCCACCCATAACAGAACTTGCCAGAGAATGGTACAGAGAGTAAAAGACCAAATAGGCTCCAAATGAATCAGACAAAATAATGAAGATTGTGTTCATTGATAACTAGCAAATGTGATGATACAGATGCAAACCCTGGCTCAGCAAGGCATTACATTACCCCCTGCCAGAAGCTCTTTGTCATCGTGAATGAGATTGGACCTTTGGTGTGACTCTGTATGGCTCTTCCTGTAGAGCAGTATTTGCAAAAGCTCTATGTTGAACCAATGTGTGACTGAAGCAGAGGCCTGTAAAGCTGAGGGAAACCTGCAGCAGGCAACTAAGAAAAACAAATGTATTTTTAGTGCATTTAAATTCATGATATGGGGATCCAAAGCTGAAAACTGTGTGGGAGCAGATACACATTTAGAAGATGGATATAAGTTTAGTCCCTGTTACAGATTTAATCATGCTACCTCTGTCAAAAGTAGTATTAAACCACTGATAAAATCACAGAAATGTACCTGCATGGTGCCCAAAAGAAAACATAAATAGCACCTGAATGTCCTCTCAGCTGCCTCCTCAATCCACAACTAACAACATGTTGTTTTTCTACAGAGTATTTTCCTAGAATAAGTGATGGAGAGCTCTTGTCAAAGTTAATAGCTGTCTGTTCCCCTGGTTGCATCCCCCGGGGATCTAAATCTCTTGGGCCTGTATCTCCAAGGAAGCAAAACATCTCACTCCTGAATTTCAATGAGTTTGAGCTCTTAATCCACTTACACTTTGGAAACTCAGCTAATATGCATCTATGCACAGTCATACATACCTAACACAGCAACATTAGATAGAAATATATATGCGTCAGAAAATAAACTTTGATTGCAGCCAACACAGCTCATGGATCCAGGCTTATTTTGATGAATTTTCTCCTTTGGAAGAAGAGGGGCAGCAGAGGGTTTCAGGAGAGCAATATCTTCTGTTCCAACGTTTTTGGGAATGGAAGGATCCCTCTGTGTAGAAGAAATTTCTATTTCATATCTTTCTAGCATATCAAGTAGCAAGAAACATAAAAGAAGAATGAAATATACCCATCTGATATGAACAAATTAATTTCCCAGAGTGCTGTGTGTTTACTATTCAGCACAAAAAAAATTCAGGAAGATCCAATATATTCAGAACACAGGTTTTGGGTTTGGGTCACTGATCAGCATTATCTACAGGAATCTTTTAGACAACATGCACTTTTATGCAATAAAACTTTAAATGTTGAAGGATGCTACAATAACGCAATGAAGGTTTTTGCAGACTTCTCCCATTCTGACAGCAGCTGGGATGTACTGGGGCCAGTGCAGCACAGTTGTAACTGCTGGATGTGCATTGTAAAACCCTGGGGATGCCCTGAGCTATGGGATTTTCCCCCAGCAAAAACCCACTCCCTAAACCAAAATTAGAAACTTCTTGGACACAGGGCCCAGACATAAAACCAGCCACACACAGTCCTCTGCCAGCTCCTACCCTCTTATCTCTCTGAGCCTTTGAGAATCTTGGAAAAACCTGGGTCCCAACATGTTCACTTTTCTTAGCCCTAAACCCCACCTTGAGCCCAAGGCCAGTAGTATTCCTTAACCAAGTCTGACTGACAAGAAATGGCTTCCACCAGTACCGAGAGCTGCACTTTTTCTGTTTCCACATTCCCTGAACAGGGGAATCATGGCCCCCACCCAAGACAGCTGTTCTTGAGCCCAGTCCCAAAGCACAGCCTAAAATGTTGGCCAGACTAGAACTGGCAACAGATGCCAACACTAAAACAGCACCTAAACCTCCCCAGGAGCACAGCAACGCTGCCATGGGCTCAGGATTCTCCCTGCAGGGATGGGGGTGGGAGAAGGCCTGTTCACAGCATAGCCAGTGAGTGCCCTGCTGTGCCACTGCCATCCCAGATGGCACTTGCTGCCACCCGTGCTGAGCACAGAGGGCACAGGCTGAGCTGGCACAGACATAAATTACTCTTTCCACATCGTGGGTGGTCCTTCCACCTCAGGGTGATCACATTAGAGCTGCCCACCTGGGGAATGCCTGCTCATCATATAAATGTGAGGTTTGCATGAATTGCATTTCAGTCAGTTTTCTTCTGCTTACATCGCATTTGTGATTTAAAAATAGCGAGAAAAATAAAATTAAAGAAATAACGATATTATTTTCCACTGTCCTGCTTTGCTTTATAATAACCATGTACCATCTTTTATGTCTGTTTCTGTTTTCCTCTGTTCTAGACTCTGGACAATATGGATAAGTAATAAAGTTCTCACTCATATAACAACAGCTCAAGCTACTTCTTTTACTATGCTCATCCTCCAGTTGTGGGTGCATATGACATAAAGTATTACCTTGGAGAGGAATGGTCAGCGTTTTTTGTGTGCGCATTTGTGTGTGTAAATAAATTCAACATAAAAAGTGCTGCACACTTTACATAAACCTCGGCATGTACAGAAAACTCCAAATTACACTCTGGCCTTCCTGTTGTAAATCACATACTTCGGGGGGGCTGTGGAAGTTACCATTGATACCTGGAGGTGTGATGCACAGCACAGTTCAGTCAGAATTGTTTGATGCAATACCATGAAGGAGAGAAGTGGAGCCTTGGTCATTTTCAAGACCCTCTTAAAACTCTCCCTATTCTCACATCTTTGAATGTGATAGAGAAGTTCTTATTTATCCTTGAAAGCAAAGGAATGGGAGCAGGATGGGGCTGTGACATACACTGTAGGTGAGACAGACATTCTAACAACACTGACACAGCTGTAGCCACAGCTGGGCTGTTCCTTGCACACCAAAGGGTCAGTTCAGTAGCAAGTCCCACAGAGTGGTGTGAGCAAGAATTGTCAAAGCCGATCTCCAAACACCTTGACAGCAGCAGGACATGCTGAGGTAACACAAATGTAACAACCCCACTTGTCTGGGTGTTTGCTCTCCGGCTGGGACCTGGGAGGGGTCGTAGAGCTCTTTGTCTCAGAAGAGCTGAGACATAGTTAAACATGAAGTTTCCATCACAAACCAAACAAAATTCTCTTGCCTGCCCAAACTACATCATTCCTCCCCACCAAAATCTCCCTGCAAAGGACTGCGAGATGACTTATACTGGGGCATGTCATTTCCATTACTACAGACCAAAAATGATGGTGAAAATTCAGGAACGACTGTTGGTGACCGTGTCAGATGACTGGTTTTGGTGGTGAAGAATTTTACAGGACCTATCTTTTGCATTTTCCTAGCACAGCACCATACCTTCTGTCTGGCTGCTGAGAGAAACTATACAAAGTGCTGGGGAATCTGCAGAAACCTGGGCCAGTCTGATGGCAGGACAGAAAAGACTGAAGTCCCTCAGAAGTCTTCACTGTCCATCTCTGTGTTTTGAATTACCAGCTATGGGAGAGAAACAGATTTGCAGTACCATTGCACGATAGGAATGGCAAAAGAGAAACAGTTCCATGTTTTGGTGGTTAAATCTAATCAGAGATGTGTGCTTGGCCATGATCACCAAACTCTGATCCTCCCTGTTGCCAGAACAAAAATGCCACCTCTTATATGAGAGTTTGTG